GACTTGCCTTAATCGAAAGTTCTCTCTCGTAATCGGGAGGGGTAATTAACTATAGGGGCTTGCGCCTATAGGAAACCAAAACTCAGATCATAAAGTCCTCGCAAAATGAGGGCGAAATCTCTGGGTAGTGTCTTATCTACAAACCCATCTGCCTTCTAAAATTTACCTCGGAATTTAGTTCGTTAAAACTCCCTCGCCGAATAAGAAAAGCGAGCGGAGGCCGAGGCCGAATTTTCGGAGCCCACACTTGTCTTGACTCTGCCTGGAAGTTTAGAGTATCAACATAGGAATAGACGTTCAGATTGAAATTTTTAACACTTTCACTTCGTATATCTCACAAAATCTTTTAATTCAAAAGAGCCAACTAAATGATACAAGTTTATTTGTGAAAACCTCAAAAAAGTACAGCATTCTCTTTCATTTTTCCTCTAGACTACATATTTTCAAAAACATAAACTTATATATATGATTTTTCTTTTATAATACCCAACTCCTGATGTTATCCTTCTGTTGTACATGAACTTTTTCCTTTGCCCGTTTAAGTTAAAGAGGGTCTTTTCGAAAATAATTAACTAATCGGTAAATTAAACAAGTCAATGGCTAATTATATTTCTAAATCATGGTAATTTAAAAATTAGAAGATAACAGACATACATATCTTTATATTAAACATTTCTTTATCATGAACACTAAGAAAAATGCATTTCTTGGCTCCCTAATGTAGAACGAATGGGGGGTAATAACAAAAAATTAAATATCTGAAATTCAATTTCAGATTTCCCTTAATTAAGGGATTTGAATTTGAAATTCAAATAAGATGGAGGGAATGATAAAAATGTGATTAATTATTCTCCTAATTGGATTCCTTGATAAGGGAGAGATATATGGTCGGGAGGAGAAATGTCCACATACAATGTATGTGGACCAGAGCATTAAATGTGATGGGGTAATTAAATCTGAAATTAATTTCAGATTTTGAGATATTTGAGAGGTTTCCTAAATGAGAGTTGGTTTAATTAGAAAGCTTTTGGAATTCAAATTATTTTGAATTTGGAGGGAAGAGGCTAGGGGTGAGGTGGTCGGTCGGCTATGGAGGTGGAGGGGTTGATGTTTGATCTAAAAGAAAAGTTAGACAAAATCAAACGAAATAAAACAAAAATGGATGGTGAAGGATAAATAGGTGATTAATTATTCCCCTAATTGGATTCCTTGATAAGGAATGAAATAATTAAAATAAGGGAGAGATGGGGCCGACCATATGGGGAGGGAGGAGAAATGTCCACATACAATGTATATGGACCAGTGCATTAAATGTGACGGGGTAGTTAAATCTGAAATTAATTTCAGATTTTGAGATATTTGAGGGGTTTCCTAAATGAGAGTTGGTTTAATTAGAAAGCTTTTGGTATTCAAATTATTTTGAATTTGGGGGGAAGAGGCTAGGGGTGAGGTGGTCGGTCGGCTATGGAGGTGGAGAGATTGATGTTTGATCCAAAAGAAAAGTTAGCCAAAATCAAACAAAATGAAACAAAAACGGATGGTGAATGGTGGAGACTAAAGATGAGAGGACTGAGAACAAAGAAAAAATAAAATAAAAACGATACAAACCACGAGCCCGGACTCTTCCTGCGGCTGGTGGGTACGACATTGTCCTTCTCCAAGGGACTTCAAGCCACGAGCCCGAACCCATCCTGTGGCTGGTGAAAACTCTGATTCCCTCCCATAGGAATCTCACCCAAGTTCTCTCCAAAGAACACAAGTACAAATAAAATTTCTTTTCATAATAATTCATCATTACATTACACAAGCAAAGGCCTCTATATATAGGCCTAAGAAATTAAAACAAGACACGTATACCCCTAGGGCTTACATAGGATGACCCTCTTAAGTAAGGGTAAAATGGGAAAATTCATAATAATAAAAAAATTACAAATAACAAAATAAGATAAGGTGGAATGATCTTGGCCGTTGATCGTCATCTCCTCCTTTAAAATTTTCATGATCGGATGTCCACATCACTCCCTTTATCATTTTAACGTCTTAACTTATCTTATTGTATAATACACCTATCACAGGAGCACTATCTCTATATGTATCATTGAAGACACATTCATCTTAGTAAGTTTTTTTTAAGCCTAACCCTAAGAGTAGATAATCCTTTTTATTTTTCCTTACGTGCGGGTACATGTATCCTCAATTAGTATCATAAGAAGATGAACTTCATCATTCATGAACATGCATTTACTCCTATATAACATATTCTTTACATTCTTCTCATCATATATTTACTTTAAATAATAATTTTTATGGACTAATTCATGAAATAATTTCTTGGGATTGAAATGTGAAAAAGTACTATAACATTCATATCTTAGTAAGTTTTTTAAACCTAACCCTGAGAGTAGGTAATTCCTTTTATTTTTTATTTTTAGTGCAGGTACATGCATCCTCAGTTAGTACCATAAAGAAGATGAACTTCATCATTTATGAACTTGCATTTACTGCTATATACCATACCTTACATTCTTCTCATCATATAATAATTGTTATGTACTAATTTATGAAATAATTTCTAGGGATTGAAATTCGAAAAGTGCTACATGACATTCTTATCAATACGAGAATTTCATACATGACAGAAAAACAGTTTAGATATTTTTCATTGGCTAATTTTTGTACTAATCGGAACATTTTTCTATGCCTATAATAGTTCAAAGAAATCATTGCAGTAAGTCTAGAGGAAATGAAATTTATTACTACAAAATCGAAATATAATCACACATCTTAGAAAACTATTTTGTCACTTGAATTTCTCTTGATGTGATACCTATATCAACAAATATTTCATACATAAGATTGTAATAAATTTTCTTTTATTTATAACATGCACAACTCTCTGTTTATAATTCTCAGCATCTCACTTCTAAATTACTTTTTATTGTTAAATAATCCATCTTTAATTAGTACTTTTCTAAGCATTATATATATATATATATATATATATATATATATAATTAAATTTTTATTTAAAAAATTATAGACAATTATTTAATATTTTATTATTTTTAATTTCCAATTGTTTTCATTTAGTTGAATTTTTTTTTTTTTAGTTGTTACGTGGTATGTGTACTATATGCCATTTTTATTCGGATTGAATTTATCATGGTAATCAGAAACTAGTTTCTTAGTTGAAAAGGCAAGTGGGTGAACATGGAGCACAATATTTTGATGGACCCTTTAGCATTATCTGATATATTCTTTTTGGTCATTTAATGATGAATAGGCTATGAGAAGTGGAAATTTTCTTTTAGTAAATTCTCATGTTAATCTCTCCACGTATAGCTTTTTGTAAGCCTAAAATCCTATAACTTGGCAGCTTGCATCTCATTCTTTAACAGGAATACCTATTTTAGACATGCATATTTTTTTGAGATGGACAATCGGCAAATAATCTATATATTTCTTACTTCTTTCCTATTTTATTCTCACATTCTGCTGCAAATTCCATTACCATGTCTCTCATTTCTAATGAGTTTTCATTTCTACCTAATTTCCTGCATTATTTACGTAAAAAAAAAAGTCTACATTGCAAAATATTTTTGCTCCCCACAGTGGGATAAAGGCTTGCTGTTGTTGTTGTTGTTGTTGTCAATTTTTTTTGGCTGTCTTCTGCTATCATGAAATTTCTGGTTCTTCACAACGTTTCCCTAGTGTTTATAATTTATTGGATGTAAATAATGAAACTTTTTGAATCATTCAAAAAAAGAACATATTTTGATTTGCTTCCTCTGCTTCTTGCAATGCAATAAACCTCCCTTGTTTTTAGTGTTTCAACAATATTGCTTTGAACCTGATGTGGAGACAAACAGATTGTCACGCTATCGTCTGAGTTTTTCTGATTTCTATCGCTTCTGACATTGATAAAAAATGCAACTATAAACCCTAAATATTATGATAGCTTGTTGATGATTCTACATGTTATGATGCAATTGAACGAAATGGTGAACTGTTTGTAAACTTCTCTGCCATGAATCTTATCCCGTCGTACTCATGTTAGCTGTTTTCTTATTGCAATAACAAGAACGTTATATGCGTGGCACAATTATCTAGATACAAGAAAAATCTTTCAAATGAAAGCAGATACCTATTTTTCTTAAATTGTTCTTACGTGCTATTAGACAACTTAAAGTTCTTTGGATGTTAAAATATCGATTGTTTGATTTATCTTTATCTGCAGGCTGACATGGTTATCATCAATCCTTTTTCATGGTCCATGCTTCCTCTGCACGATAGGTATGAACTGCAAATAGTAAACCCTTACGTTCCAACTAATTCTTTCATATTTTAAATCTAAATCCCATGTAATTGCCACGCATTCAAGTTCCAAATTCGTGTGCAGTTAAGTAAAAAGGTAATGAATTATGCAGCTTACAGTACTTCAAAACCTATGCCTTTTTTTTCCAGCTTTCATTATGGGTGGTGACGCGTGGATTATCTACCATGAACAGAAATTAGATTGTAGTATTGGGTAGTTGCAATATTTGTTTGGAATATATACCAAAAAAAGTGTTGGTCATTGACATAAAAAGGGGGCCATGATAAATGATCTGTGGCTGCCCCAATTCCGGGAGAGATTATTATGTGCGGACACTGGACGGGAGAACCGTCCGGTGCCGAGCGTGGTACCAAGCGGTACAGCTCGGTACCGAGCGCGGTACACTTTTGGAGTGACGTGACGTATTTTAATTGGTCTCTAGATGACGTCTGGACTCCGCACAGAATAATTTGTCCAATTCCAGTGGCACCATTGTTTTGCCTTTAGATGATTCATTTTGGACCAAAATGGTCCCTGATCTTCTTTCTTGCATATGTCGGTTAATCGAGCCGCACATAATTTTTTGGCTATTCCATTGTATCCACATTTCCCGATGTGAAAAGAATTTGATCGTAACTTTAATAGCAATATTTAATCAAATAACCTGTTTGTGATATTACCTTTCACTAAAAAATGTCCTACGCATATATAACTTCTTACAGGCTTTCCAAGCTTAGTAGATGATATGAAATACTTGATTTCGAGTATTTCCTAATCACTTTGGCGACAAATCTCAAAATCTGTAGTTCTCTACTTGTAACGGCACATAAAAGGGTGTTTCTAAAATATCTATTAATTCCATGCGTAAAGACAAGTTTCTATAAGCCTAACTATATTAAGAAGAAAAAAAAGACGTGGACATTGGAGGTTCTCCAGGTCATGTTCTGGACATTCGGCCACTCAGTCACTGTAAAAGGGCCATGTTGGAGAACCAACTTGTGTCAACCTACTTTTCTTTTCTTTCTAAATATTTCCTTAGCTTTTGGAAACGTTTTTAGAGAAGATCTTTGGTACTTTGTGAACACATATTAGACATAACTACAGGTAAACTCTGCCACTCTACTTATCAAAATTATAATTTGTTATATTTAATTTAGAAGTTCCATGACATTGTTAAAACTATGATTTTAATCCTAGTAGTTATTGTGTTTGAACTATAACTTTATTATGATTATGAAACCATTTTTTTATAAAAAGCATATATTTTAAATGTCACATCAACTGGTGTTACTTTTTATATATTTTTCAAGACTTATTGCATCCTATGTATGTGTTCCGACGTTCATATCAGACCATCATCATAGAGAGTTTATAAGCAGCTGCAAATAGTTGCATCAAAAGGACTGTATATATGTATGTTTTATGGTAATATATCATGCATGAAGCTTAGGCTTTGTTTGAGATGGCTTTGTTACTGCTTCTTAAAGCAGCTTTCTAGTACAATTTTTTTTTATTAGAAAGCTGCTTTAAGAAGCAATAAGAAAACCGTCCCAAACGAAGCCTTAATGTAGCTGAACTAGAAGGCTCGTCTCAACTATATGATTTGGCCTTGTCTTTGTTTTTTAGTTGTTATCTTCGGCGATATACCTTTCCTGAGGCACTTGTTTGTGATTATTGCCTCGAATTCACAGCATTTCCAACCTGGTGTATTGCATGCGAACCGAGAATATTGAATCAGTAATGTGCAATGGCCAATGGATTTTGAAGGATAAGAAGATCACAAATCTTGATGAGGTTTGTGTTCCTTTTTTATTTCCTCATAAAATTTCAAATTATGATTATTTTTTCCCTCTGTTAATACATTATTTTAGCGCTTCGTCCTCTTGAACAGGAAGAAGTCTTTTCATTAGCAATGAAAGCTTCAAGCGACATTCTTAAAAGGGCAGGCATCAGCCTTCCTGATAGGTTCAACTGTTTATGATGTCTCTGAATTGAAGTGCAGTCTTATCGATTCTAGGTTCGTGTGAAAGGCCTTTTTCCTTTACTAGCGTCATCTTGGTGTCCCCTTCTTCATCGCCATGAAATAAGCAGATTTTTCACTTATTCTGAATATTTTGAGTTTTTTTGTTTTTATTTGAGATTTATTTAACTTGGGTGAATTCTAAATTTATCAAAATAAATATTTTGGGTATTTACCAAATAAAAAAATTTAAAATTTATATATATATATATCTTTTTTATTTTATATTAGTAATACTTATAATCAAACAAACTAGTCACTGTATTTCTCCGAGAAGAGAGAGATCCTGTTCTTTCTCTTACAATTGTGACATTATCACATGTGTCAGATATCGATAGGAAGATATTAGCTTGAGACTTTTTTTTTTTATGATTACTTCAAACTTTGGAGCTGTGATATTTAAGTTGCCTTAAACGATGCTGTAGTTCCAGATGGGTTGAAGTCTTCCTCCGGTCTTAAATTAAAGATAAAGAAATGACTAAACATTCTGAAAGCAGGAATTCTTCCAAAGAGTTGGTAACGTCTGGTGCATAATTTTGCCTAAGTGTTGAAATGGACTTACTTAATACTGCCATTGTCAAGTCCCAAATTTTGGGTGAGAAAAATGAAAGGTTGCATTAGTTAGTTGACAGCCAGCATAAAACTTATCGAATAATCATGATATGAATCATTTGATACATTATGTTAATGTTAGGGCATTTCTTGTAAGTGACATGTTATATTGCATGAATACAGTGAGAAATGCGCAAGGACCGCTGCATCGGCGCCTTGGTGCAGTATTAAATAGACAAAGGTTTACACATTATAGACAGATGTGGGCAAAGAAGCTAGTTCATGAAATTAGAATTCAGATAGGATCTTGGAATGTAGGGTTCTCTTATAGGCAAATTAATGATGTTAATTGATATTATGATTCATAGTGAGATAAATATTTTATGCATTCAAGAAATTAAATGGGTTGGGAGAAGACTGGAGATTGATAGTTTATGATTGAAATTTTGGTATTCTGGTAGAAGTCATACTAGAAATGGTGTAAGTGTGATTATAGATAAGAGTTTAAAGGATAATGTTATAAAAATTGATGAAATTGAAGACAAAATTATAGTTTTGAAGATTATTATTGATGCTAAGATTAGTAATATTATAAGTGCTTATGCTCCTCATGTAGGTTTAGAAATGTAGGGTTCTCTTATAGGCAAATTAATGAAGTTAATTGATATTATGATTCATAGTGAGATAAATATTTTATGCATTCAAGAAATTAAATGGGTTGGAAGAAGACTATGGAGATTGATAGTTTATGATTGAAATTTTGGTATTCTGGTAGAAGTCGTACTAGAAATGGTGTAGGTGTGATTATAGATAAGAGTTTAAAGGATAATATTATAAAAATTGATAAAATTGAAGACAAAATTATAGTTTTGAAGATTATTATTGATGCTAAGATTAGTAATATTATAAGTGCTTATGCTCCTCATGTAGGTTTAGATATATATGTTTAAAATTAAAATTTTGAAATGACTTAGAAAAATTATTTCAAAAGTTATTTCTTGAAGAAAGAGTTTTTATTGAAGGAGATTTAAATGAACATGTTGGTAGAGAAATAAAGGATTTTAAAAGCATTCATGGTGGCTATGAGTTTGGAGCGAGTAATGATGGTGGTAAGACTATATTAGATTTTGCTTTAGCTTATGATTTTATAATTGTTAATCTTATTTAAGAAAAGAGATGAGCATCTCATCACTTTTAAGAATAGCTATAGAAAAATTTAGATTGATTATTTTCTAAAATAAATCGTTTAAATTGTAAAGATTATAAAGTTATTTTGAGTGAAAGTTTATGTACCCAATATCGCTTATTAGTTTTGAACTTTAAGATGAAAGGACAGAATATGAAAAATATAGTAAAACATTGTTCTAATATTAGATGGGGGTATTTAAATAACACTAACAAAAATATTTTTGAAAGTAAGATTTGAGATCTTAAGATTTTGTATGTGCATTAGGAAGCGAATGTTATGTGAGAAAAAATATAATTTTGCAAAGGATGTGTTGGAGTTTCAAAAAGAAAAGTTTCTAATAATAAAAATAGTTGGAGATGGAATCGAAATATGTAAGAAAATATCAAAAATAAAAAAGCTTTGTTATAATAATTAGTTTAGATATAAAAATTTTGAAAATTGGGAAAAATATAAAGAAACTTGTAAGGTGTTTAAGAAAATAATTTGTGATGCAAAGATTTTAGCTTTTAACGATTTATATATTAGATTAGATTCTAAAGAGGACGAATGATATATGTATAAGTTAGCCAAATAAAAAGATAGGAGTAAGGATTTAGTTCAAGTGAAGTGCATTAAGGATGAAGACCAAAAAGTATTTTTTAAGAGGTTATTCAATAAAGATGGATGAGATATTTTGTTAAGATTTTCAATGAAGATTGTGAGAATATGATTAACTTTAGAAACACTAGCACTCTAAATAAAAATAGAAATTTTATTATTATCGGTGTATTAGTAAAATTGAAGTTAGAGAGGCTTTAAAGAAAATGGAGTGTGAAAAACTATTGGACCTGATGATATTTCAATAGAGGTATAGAAATGCATAGGAGATGAATAACTTTCTTGGCTTACTAAATTTTTTAATATTATTTTGAAGACTAAATAGATGGCAGATGAATGGAGAAAGAGTGTGTTGATTCATATTTTTAAGAATAATGGTGATTCACAAGATTGTGTGAATTATAGAGGAATTAAGTTGATGTGTCATACTTTAGAACTTTGGGAGAGAGTTATGAAGCATAAATTACAACATGATACTAACGTTTCTCAAAATCAATTTGGATTCATGTCGGGTAGGTCTACTATGGAAGCTATTCATTTATTGAGAGAGTTGATGGAAAAGTTTAGAGAGAATAAAGAGGATCTACATATGATATTTATCGATTTAGAGAAAGCATATGATAAAATTCCAAAAGAAGTGCTATGAAGAGTTCTAGAAATGAAAGGGGTTAATAATGCTTATATTCAAGTCATTAGGGATATGTATGCAGGAGCTGTTACTTGTGTTCGAACACAAGGTGGTTTGACAAAATATTTTCCTATTTCAGTTGGATAACATCAAGGATCAACCTTAAGCCCATATCTTTTTGCTTTAGTTATGGATGTTCTTGCTAGACATTTACAAGAGGATGTACCCTGGTGTATGTTTTTTGCTGATGATATTCTTTTTATTGATAAAACTAGATATGGAGTTGAAGGTAAACTCGAATTATGGGCGTCAACCTTAGAGTCTAACAGTTTTTGTTTGAGTAGATCTGAAATCGAGTACATAGAGTGTAATTTTAGTAGTAATAGATCTAGTGGGGTGTTTGTGATTTTAAGTGATCAAACCATTAATAAGTGTACTCATTTTAGATATATTGGGTCTATTGTTCAGAGTGATGGTGAAATAGATGAGGATATTATTAGTAGAATTCAAGTTGGATGGTTGAAGTAGAGGAATGATTCGGGTTTGTTGTGTGATAGAAAAGCACCACTCAAACTTAAGGGAAAATGTTATAAGATGGTGGTAAGACTTGCAATGCTTTAAGATGTAGAATGTTGGCCATTAAAAGAGAATACGTGGGGTTGGCTACATTAATCCTTTTTCTTCATTGTGTCCTGCTAGAAGTAAAATTCTCATTTAAATCTAATAAAGAAAAGTAATTTCTAATATTTTCTAATAAAGTCTTTTTAAGTCTACCTCTACATTTCTTAATATAGGCCAAATCTAATACATTTATTCTCCTAACAGGGTCATCGAAAGGCCGCCATTGTACATGACCAAACCATCTAACACAGCTCTCTCTAATCTTATCTGTCACTAGAGCTACTCCAACCTTTTCACGGATATGTTTGTTTCGTATCTTATCTCTAAGAGTAAATTTACTCATCCACCTGAGCATCCTTATTTATTGTTGTTGAAATGGACTTCCTCGTCGTTATTACCATTTGATGCTATTTCAGAGTACTTTTTTACTTGGTTGTTGGAGATATGCAGTGATCTTATAAACATTCGCATCAAAGATATTTTGCTGATTTATTGAGGCCCTGTTAAGAAATTTATTTCTGATATTACATGCTTTTTATTCATGATGGAATGAAACACAAAGTGCACCAAGTTCTGATTTAGTGAAGCACTTACAAGTAACCCTTAGGGATTCTAACGCTCAGCCCCTTGAAATAAAATAATTACATTTAAGCCCACTTGGTCATCCTACCAATCAAGGGATCGCACATAATACCACATTCATCAATCAATCCTTAATGAGTAGAATGATCAGTTGGCAGGTCATCCAGGGAACCCATTAATTAACCCGATTAATTTGCCCCATGGAGTCTCACTGTTGGTCCACATGTAAACAAGGCCTATCCACTAACCATTCTATCAAATTTACCCTTCAAATCTATGCCTCATGTTGGATTCAAATTTTTCAATGGGCTACATTTGACATTATTAATAGGTTTGGCTAGTTAGAGTTAGAAAATAGAATAAGGGAATCAATGAGCATGAAAAATAAATAAGAAGTTAACTGATATATTATATATATATATAACAATAAAAATGGCATTAAGTTTAAATTATTCATTTTCACCTCTTATTTATAAGGTTTAAAGGCTTATAGGAATGGTTAAACTCAAAAAAATAGAAAAAAAGATAGTACATGATTTGAATGGTGCATGTGCATTCGAATTTGACATGTGTAATGCTTATCATTTAATCATTGGTATCAATTCATGCTCATCACACATTAGAGAATATTTGATCCAAGTTTGTATGTGGTTGACACGTGACTTTACCAACAAGTTTGGTTAATTAGAGTGAATTAAAGAGTATGGATAGAGCATATATGTTGCTAAGTAATTTTTGTGAACATGAAAAATAGCATGAAGTATTAATTATGTCTCTTGATCCCATTTATAGGGTTTACAGAGCTATATAAAATATTACACCTAAAAAAAAAAGAAAAATAATATATATTATTTGGCAAGTAAAGACTAACAAAGACACGTTGATTAGAATGAAAGGTGCACACATGATCCTTTGCCTCTAACGTTGCTTTGGGATGCCCCTTACAAGTATCTTAAGCGAGTCATTGAGAGCGAGTGTCTTGGGTGAGTCTCCAGATACAAGCATCTTTTGCAAGTTTGTGAATGCAAGTCCTTTGGGGTTAAGGGTGAGTCTCGTGGATATGTTTAGTTGTGAGTTGGGGATGAACATAGTTGACATAGTCATAATTATAGGCTTTGTATGTGTATGCCTTTTGTAGCTTAGACTAGGACATCCACGAAAAGGGGACAATCTTAGGTAAGGAAAATTGCTAAGAGAGTCGAATCCTCCTGAGGCAAGTACCCCTTATGATAAAGGCTTGTTGAGGTAAGTCCTCTAGACGAACTCGCCATGAATAGTGCATCCTTAATCTAAACCTCCAAAGGTGAGCTTAGATGTTGTGAACTTCACTAAGACGATCACCTGCTTTCTTATAGACTAGCTTGTGTGATTGTTCTTAAAGCAAGGTTTTCTTTAGGTGAGTGTTCCCTCTGGTCATATCAATTGGGTTTGAACTTATTTGAGTATTTGCGAGTCTATATGTGCATGTGTGGACATACCCTTCCCTTGATATTCAAGATTGAAGTCTTTCAGAAATTGGATTCTTCTTCTCCCATCCTTATCTTCATCGTCATCTCATTACTTGTTAGAAAGTTCTACTCTTCAAAAATGGATGATTTATAGTTTAAAACACTCCATCCATTCTTGATACGTTTGACTACACTCATAAGTTTAAAATTGGTCTCAATCGAAATGTCTGATAGCTATTTATAATATAATGTCAAGAATACGATCAAATAGAAGGCATATGTTTGAAAGTTTATGGATCGAGTTAAGTTCTATCATGTCCTTTCTTCGAGGAAAATTCAGCAACACGGACAAGTAAAGGTTCTTAATCAGTCAAAAAGTGTATGATTAAGTTGGAAGATATTTGAATATCACTTAATTCCATCATTGACTCCTCTATGCAAAAATAATTTTCTTACTAATGATTCTCATAAGTAAAATCCCCATGTTAAACCCTTGGCTTTGTCTACTGAAGATCGTCTTATTCACATCAAATCTCAATTGAAAGGGGTCATTAATTACTCTTTTTTTACTACATTTTATGCTAGAGGATGACCTCAAAATATATTACCACAAAGCTTCATATCCTCCCTTTGATAACCCTAAATTCAACAAACTTTGGGATAATCTATCTCCTCCACGGGTGCGTTGCTTGCTTGAAGAGGCTATTTAGGGGAAGAATGAAGAAGGGTTGCTAACAGTGTCCATTGTCCTCTCCCATCCTAGCATGTTCTTCTCGAGAAAAACTATTTGGTGTGGAGTTCAGACCTATCTCTACGTCTGGACTAGAATTAAATTTTGACAAGTATAGTGAACACGTGGAGATTTAATTGGTTTTCATTTTTTTAGGCCATTTTATTTTTCAATGATGCATTTCACTACTCACAAAGCAAAAGGACAGCAGAAGCGCAACAAAAGAACAATTAAAATGCAGTGAATTACACATTGTAAATTTCTAGAATTTTTCCTTACAAAAGAGAACGGTGAATATCCACGTGTTCAAATTTAATTAGAGTCCGGACGTAGAGCTATGCTGGACTAGCGCCAAATAATTTCTCCCTCTTCGCACTCAACTATGGAATCAAAGCTCGAACTCAACACCTCTTAATTGATAATCAAAGCTCTCAACCAATAGATTAAAGTGAACAGGTGACCCTTCATTTTATAAATTTAGGTTATTTAGAGCAATCAATTAGGCACCATTGAGTTTCGTGATTTGAGCTAATTTACTGTTTGATTAGATGAAATTTTAAAGTCCCCATATTAAAAAAATTCTTAATCCCTAAATTTTGTGTAATTTTTTTTTTTTTAATTCTCTCCGATATTATATGATGTTAAATTCTTGGCTCGCACTATTGGTCACAGCGAACTGTTTCAAAAAAAAAAATTTAATTCTATTTTTGAGTCTTGAATCGGCTCTGAGGTTTTTTATGAAGCTCGGTCTCTCCATCCTTTGAATGAATAAAAAAATTAAAAAAAATCGATGAGATTATTTTCACTAAAATTCATTGTGATAAAACTATTAAATTATTAAGATTAATATAGCACATAAATAATTAATTAAAATTCATACAGCATTAATTACAGGCATGATAAAATATTTGTGACATGAGAGAGATATTAATGTCTTAGGGCATCTCCAACCTAAAATCTCATTTTTCACTCCAAAATGCAGGGAAATCAAGAAATGCCGTGTTTCATCTCCAATCCAACTTCATTTTGCCGCTAAAACCGTTCGTTTTCTTTCGCGCCTTTCTTCCCAACCTATTCGGTAGAGAGGAAAAAAATGGCGCACATGAACAGTGCGACGCCAATATTGGCGTCACACTGTTCATCCGCGATCAAATGGCGTCAAAAATGGCGATCGGTTGGAGCAAAGCAAGAACGACAAACAAGTGTTTGCCGTTTGGTTGGAGATGCCCTTAGTTTTATAAAAGGTTTCAGCGCAAACATAAAAAAAAGTTGTAAGAGATACAAATGAAAAATTAAAATAAAAAGAAAAAAAATTCTAATACAATTGAAATAAATTTATTAGCATTTTTCACCGTTGCAAATGCTGCCTTGGTTTTTTATTACGTCCTCTGACCGGACGTAGCTCTACGTTCGGTCAGAGGATTGTTACTCGGTATTGCTATGTATTGTTTGATAATAACGAGGAATACTGCTCTGTGAAGATCAATATCGAGTAATATCGAGCAATACTGAGTAATCCCAAAAAAATACCGAGTTTTTTCTAGGTATTGCTTAATATTACCTAAAAAATACCGAGTTTTTTTTAGGTATTGCTCGGTATTTTGCCTTCACATAATGATATTTCTCGTTATTATTGATATTGCTCGGTATTTCTCATTTTATGCCTGCAATCTTAGTGCCGGCCGAAGATAGCTCTAGATACGTTCACGGGACCAAATAAAAATTCCTTGGCCATGATTGAAGAATGTGTACAGATAATATAGTAGATATAACTATTTTAAAATTTTGACCCAGCAACTACTCTCCAGCAAGCGGGAGAAACATCGCGAGATTTCCCGAAGAAACTCCCAGCATCCAAGGAAAAGATACCGGAAACATCTCGAACCATCTATGCTGACGGTATAAATATCATTGCTATGATCAAACTCGCAGCAATCGACGATCGAAATCAATTTTCTGAATCTTCAAACAATTTCCATTTACTTCGTAAGGAAGAAGTCGGTGGCGGATGGCGAACCCCTTCTACCGCAGCCATTGGAATCCAATCCGCAATGGTTACTACCCTCAAGCCCAAATCCAGCCGGAATCCACCAAGCCAAAGGTCATTAGCATACCCGTCCAATTCGTCGGCTCTGACAACGCCACTAGAAAGAAGACGCCGGCACCGGCGACTAAAACTGACACAGCTACGCCGACGGGGGAGGCGAGGGTAGCGGCCGCCGTAACGATCCAGAGATCTGTGCGAGGTTTCCTGGTGAGGAAGAATGTACGTTTAGTACGCCAGATTGCCGGGGAAGTGGAGGAGATCGAGCGGAAGGTGAGAGAGGAAGAACGTAAAATTCGGCTGGACGCTAGGGAGCGCATTTTGGTGAGCGAGACGCTCATGGCGTTACTCCTACGTCTTGATACAGTCCGTGGGGTGAGGGATTTTCGAAAGAGGGTCATCCGACGGGTCATCAGTCTCCAGGAGAAGATCGATTTCCTCTCTGCTGCTGCTGTTGATGGTCCGATCACATTATCTGAGGAATCATCAATAGATCTGGAAAAGACTACAGATCAAACCCTTCATCTGGACGAGATGGAGGAGGAGAAGACGGAGTTTGACATGGAAATGTACGAGACAGTTGAATCGCCTAAGATAAGCAGTGATACTATCGCGACAGTGGATGGCACAATTTCTAGGAGTTGCGCAGATCAAAACCTCGATGCTGAAGAGGAGACCCACGAGGCCGATACAGTGTTGGAGATGGAAATTCTGGCGGAGGCTGAGTCATCGGAAAGGCAGAGTGATCTAACTGAAGCAGCTGATGGCCCGATTTCCTCAAGAAGCTTAGAGGATGATCAGAAGAGTTTCGTCAAATTAGCGGAGGAATCATTGATAGATCATGAAAAGATAGCAGATCAGACCCTCGATCTGGAACTGCTGAGGAGGAATGAGAATGATGCGGATTTGGAGGTGAATATTCCCGCCACTCTTGAATCACCAAAGAGAAAAAGTGATCTGATTGATATTGACCTTGTCCAAGATGGATCAAGGTCATCGGAGTTAGAGGAGGAAATCCACAAGGCTGATGAAGAAGAAGCATCATTGGTGGTGGAGTCACTGGAAGCAAAGAGGGAAGATGAGATGAGGATGAGGGAGATGGTGGAAAGGATGGCATTGGAGAACGATAGACTGAAGGAGATGGTGGCGCAGTTGTGCTCAACGAGCTCTAAACAGTTCCAAGTAATGGAGGGTTTGGCAGACCGGCTGGAGCATCTCGAGCGTCTCGTCCATCATCGGATGGATCGCCGCAAGAAGAGGAGGAGCATCGCTCCCTGCTCTGCGCTTTCCTCTGCTAATTAGCTTCTGCTATCAGTTGAGATCTATTAAATATTGTAGTTTCTTTCAATTTTTTATAACAAGGTTCTTTCTTCCCCCATTGGAGCCATGAAAGGAGTTGTTCCAATGTTATTTTGATATATGTTGCATTTTACTAGATGTTGCATTTTATAGCTCTAGCTTTCAACTTTCTAAACGTGCTATGTGTGGTAGCAATTTGATACACCTCAAAAAATCATCTTGGTCATTCATGAATCTCAAAGCAGCAAATTTATAATAAAATTGAATGTCATAATAAAATGATATCAAAATCAGTCTGATTCGAGCATAAATGAGTTCAAAATTGGACAATTGAAGTATGTTTGGAAGGCTCAATTCGATATGAGATGTTTGATAGAGTAATTTGAATTTGGCCTTGATCATCTCCATATTTATAGAGCATACCACTCATAAAAATCTATATATATGCAAATGCATTTTTCATAAATATTGAGCATTTTGGTTTGAAGATTGAAGAGAGATTTAAGACTTAGATCCTATTGTTATAACCAAGCACGATCGTTGGCAAATTTCTATTGACCATCATCGGACCACAATTTCTATTGATCACCATCAGGCCAACACTGCCTCGTCGTCGACCACTGGTGGATTAACTCTCATTTGCCAACTGCCATTAGATCGCCTCCAGTCTGCTGATCACGATCGGACCTTCGTTCGTCCATCGTATAATAACTGCCTGTCTAACCACCAACTGCCATTGATCTCAGTCATAGTTTTGCCCGGCCATCGTCAGACCACTTTCTAGCACCCAATCGCCACTAGGTCGCCGCCCAGCTGCCATTGACACGACACTACAACCATCGTCGTCATACTACAATCCTTCCAGCCTCTATCGCCCACTGACCACCATTGTCTATTGACTACAGTCCCTACGATCATCGTCGTCCGCCAATTGCAGTCTATTCAACCTCCGTCACTCGCCGATTACGATTCTTTCAACCTCCATCACCCGTCGAATGTCGACTAGAATCCCTCTTACTTCTAACGCCCACGGACTACGGTCCCTTCGACTTTTGTCGTCAGCCTATTACGGTCCCTTCGACCACCATCACCCGACTACGATCCCTCCGATTGCATGAATTTGCTAACACTCTGTTGGGAGTAAATCTTATATTACTATATTCTTCCAACTCCAATCATGTAACATGCTCTATAAGATGTATATGTGTTATATCGAGCCAAGGCACTCCCCCAAAGAAAGGGCCTCATTTATAATAAAAAATAAATATTAATATAATTATTTTAACTAGGTTAGACTCCGTTTTTTTTTTTTTTTCCTTTTTAGAGTTTTCCCTATAAAAATTTATGTGTCTCTTATAACTTTTGCACCCCTCTCTTTTATCTGTCTTTGTATTGGATCTTCGCCCAAAATTAAGATATTAAGCTCATTATCTCTCTATCATTGTGAATATCCAGCCCGCAACACAATTTATTCTAAAAAAGAAAATTAAATTTGAGGGTTTGTTTCGTCTCTAGTTAATCTATCTTGATTAGAAAATTTTCTCTAACGATTAAGTTATTGGGTGCATCATTTCATTAATAATTTATTGAGTATTGTATCATATCACAATAATCTATATTATTTTTATTGTATATATAATCATATTTTCATTAATTACTTTTATTAGTTTATGAAATTTTATTTAAATTTTATACGGTCTCTCTAAGACTAAGTAGTTTATTATATGTATATTCAATTCCAATGAGGAAATTCAATTTTTTTTCTTTTTTGAGTATTCATATCATTAACCTTTTCGTATTCATTTTTTTTTAAAAAAAAGTTTAATTAAATCACACTAATATCTATATTATGAAAAAAGACAATTTATAAATTTGACTTATAATAACTCATAAAAAATTATTTTATTAGATTAGAATATGGCTATTACATTATCACCCCTAATATTTGCATTCTCTGTAATAATTCTTTTGAAATTAATGCACATCTCTTTTTTTCAAATGATTTTTCATTCATTAGTATCTCTTATTTACTGCCATGGTTTGATAATTACTTACTTAGGCCTAACATTCATCAACTATTGGATTATATTTTGGTGATGCCACAAGTCAGCAGCTCTATAAAAAATTTATACTAATCAAATGAAGATTGGGAACTATTTTCTTATGGGCTTTTTTTTTAGTTCAAATAGCTTGTTGCAGATTAGAATATACGCGGCGATGGAGTTAGAAAATTTCCATCTTATCGTTGTGTGGATATCTAGCACATAAACAAAGGAGAAATAATAACACCAGGATTTTTACGTGAAAAACCCTGGAAAGGGAAAAAAACGATGGGGCCACGCCTAATTGAAATAATTCCACTAGTATTTGTTTGAGGTACAAGAAGCTGACTCGTCCTTAAAATTTAGGACTATCAGATTACAATGCTTCACTTCTAGATTAAAGTCCAATTACAAACAAGTTGTGTATTCGAGCTGAATTCATAGTCACTTAGAATTCCGACATTACTTGGGCGTCGAGCAGTGGGCAGAGTTCCGGCGTCACTTGGGCGTTGGACAGAATTCTGACATCACTTGGGCGTCGGGTAGAATCCCGGCGTCACCTGGGCAGAATTCCGACGTCACTCGGGCATCAGACAGAATTCCGACGTCACTCGGGCGTCGGGCAAAATTCCAGCTATATGCTGCTATTTTGTGGATTGGTGCTATTTCACTCTGATATTTCTCTATCAGAAGAAAATTTTGAAGGATAAAGATGAATGCGGGTGGTCTACCAACTCTGCCCCTTGGATGGGAAAAATTATTCAATGCAGATGTCGAACGCTATCTAGATATCAATCATAATGCATTATGTCACTCCTTAGCTCAGTACAACAGCTCGGTACCGCGACTTGGTATTGTTGATGTGGCTGCACTTGATTTGTCTCCAGATTTAGAGCTACGTCCAGCCTCCGCACAAAATAATTTCTCCCTTAGATGGGTCATTATGGTAACCAGGGGTTAATTGTCTACATGAAAAGTCTGTTGGCTCATGATCTCGTTATGTATGACATTCTGTGTCCTTGTGCCTAACGACACTTTTTTACTTATATTTCTTCACTTTTAGTACAAGCAAGTTTAGTTTTGTTGCTCATTTTGTTGGGAGCAATAGCTTTTCTTTATTTTTTTATTTTTTATTTGGACATTTAGGTCATTTAAGGCAAATTCACACACACAATGCATACACACAAAGACTCGAACCCAAGACCTCTTAATTGGAAGCATAAACCTCAACCAACAAACCAAGGTGAGCTGTGTGCTTTTCTTTATCTTCTATTGCTTATCTTTTGTCAATCGCTTGTAATCTTCTTACAATTTGGTTGTAATTATCTTTTATGTTAATGAAATAGGTTTTTGTCCCTAATTCTTCAAAAAAAGAAAAACAAAACTCTTATATTAATTTAAGAAATATTTATATTTGTGATGAGCATCATTATAAAAATATATTTATGCGCTTAGGTCATCTCCAACCCAATAACTCATTTTCCACTAAAAACTACATTAACACTCCAAAATATAGTAATTCATCTCCAATTTAACTTCATTTTTTAATACTAAAAAAAAATTCTGTGTATATTATCTCTTATTTTTTATTATTTTTTAAATCATAAATAATACATTTACATTTATTAAATTTTCAAATTAGGCTTACTTAAAATTTGTTTTAACAAAAATAAATCTTAATAAGATAAGTATTTATTAAATAAAATTGTTGCAGGCTAGAATATAAGCGGCGACACTGGCGGAGGCACACTGGGGGCCATGGGGGCACCGGCCCCCACTGGATTTGGGAAATCAAATCAATTAATAGCATTAATAACGTATTAATTACATACTCTAAGTTTTCTTATATCTTTTTTATCCTTTTTTATGTTATTTCTGCCGCAGCCGTTAATTTTTATTCTCTTTTGTTTGGAGTCGGAACGCTGCCGCCGGAGTTGGAAGCTGAACGCTTGAAAGCTGAACGCCGTCGTTCGTCCGCTTGAAAGCTGCGGCCGGTCGTCCTCTTGAAAGCTGCCGCCGGTCGTCCTCTTGAAAGCTGCCGCCGGTAGTCCTCTTCAGTGCCCGACGGCCGACGCCCTGTAACTGTAAGATCGCGTAGATCTTGTAACTTTTTTGCATATTACTTTGAGTTTGAAATTTTTTTGGGGCATGATGTGTTCAGATGAATCATTTTAAAACTTATATTTGATTCTTTTTTTTTTTTACTTCAACCGATTAAAAAAAAATCAGTTGTTTGCTACCAGATCATGATTTCCATTTTTTTTTAACAGCCAGCCGCCCATTCATGATTACTTATGTGTGTGACATGTTTGAATCCATGTCAATCATTTTCAACATTTGATAAATAACGATTACTACGTCTTGCAAAATTTTATCCGGCAGATTTTCAGAGATGGATCTTATCATACTAGACAATCAAATTGAAAATTTTATTATTGATATGAGATCAAATGATGCATTTATGAATTTAAAAGGACTTTGAGAACTTGCTCAAAAAATGATGGAGACTAGAAAAAATGATATTTTTCCTTTGGTGTTCTTGCTTATGAAGCTTGCTTTGATATTGCCAATCGCAACAGCAACAGTTGAACGACCATTTTCTGCAATGAAGATTATAAATAATCGTTTACGTAATCGTATGGGAGACTCTTGGATGAATGACTGTTTACTTACTTATATTGAAAAGGATATTTTCAATAGTATTGACAATGACTTAATTGTATAACGATTTCAAAAAATGAAGGCACGACGGGGGAAATTATAGAAGACATATAACAAGAATATCAAGATTAGTGTTCTCAATTGTAAGTTTTTTCCTTTATTATATATTTTCTATTTTAATTATGATTTTAATGATTTAAAAAAAATTTAAAACCGCCAATGCCGGTCCCAAGCCCGGAAGAAAAAGGTTGAGGGTTTTTTTTTTTTGACTTTAATATTTTGTGCCCCCACATGAACAAAATCCTGCCTCCGCCCCTAAGCGGCGATAAAGTTAAAAATTTTCATCTCAGTGTTGCACAGATATCCAGCACACAAATATGAACTTCTTAAACACAAGATTTTTTGCATGGAAAACCACGGAAAAAAGGAAAAAGGAAAAACCACATGGTCGCGTCCAGTTGAAATTAATTCACTAATATTTGAATAAATTACAAATGATTTATCCGTTCTATTAAGGATGAATAGATTACAACAATCAATAGTTTGGTTGAAATATGGAGACCAGCGGAGAGCAGGAAGAAATTCGGTGACGTTCAGTTAGCATCCGAGCAGAAGTCTGAAGTCAGTCGGTGGCCAGGCGGAAGTTCGATGTAAATCGGTGGCCAGGCTGAAGCCCAACGTTAGTCGGTGACCAGACGAAAGTCCAGCGTCAATTGGTGGTTGGGTATGTGAAACCCTTGAAGAAAAAAAAAGTTGTGCTGTTTTTTGTCTATACGAGTCTGGTTAGTACGGGACGAACCGTCAGTACGAACTGAAGAAAATTGTGAAGAAATCTGTCATTTTCGTCTGTACGAACCTGGATGGGTCGGTACGAACCGTCGGTACGAACCGAGACAGAGAGTTTCGTCCAGGGATGAAAATTTTGAATTTAATTTTCGTCTTGACGATTTAATACAGAGAAGATTGTCCCGGGACGATTGGGACATCGTCCGGGACGAACCTGCTTAATAAATATCCAGATAATGTCGTTTTTTGAAGAGAGATAAAGCCCAAGAGAGAGAAAAACGAAGGGAAAAGAGGAAAAGTGGATTTTTGGGCGACTTCGACTCGTTTTTGTCCGTCGTCGTAATTGGGAAAGTTGACCAACTCGAGGTAAGGCACATTCCGCCTTTCTCAATTTTCAGAAATGAGATTTTTGACGCGTTTTCTATTCCGAATTTTGTTTCCGTTAGTGAATTTCTGGTATTATTTTCTTCTGACAAAGGTTTTACTGCGTAACTTTTGGTATGTTTCTGAGCTGATAATCCTGCACGTTTTGAGTAATTTATGGAAGATTTTTACCGGATATTTTGGATTCTACGGTGTTTTAATTGAACTGCAAATTATCAGAATGTTGAAAAATGTTTTGTCAGTACAATGAAAGTCTTACAATGTTGTTGTGAATATTCTGTGATAATTTGGTAAATTTCTAAATCTGTGAATTTTGTGTAAATTCCGTATACTGCCGTTATGCCGCTGATTTTTCGTACGAATTATGCTTTTGTCATGAATTGTACATTGAATGAATTGATTAATTTTATGCTATCAGAAGGGAGTTATAAGGGGTCGGAATCCTATGTGATTCCGTTGTCTGGGTCCGGGAAGGGAGACATAAGGGGAAGTTCTGAAATCTGAAATTATGTATATCTGTTCTGTTCTTGTGTTATAAGCACAAAAGGGAGCCATAAGGAGAAGTTCTGACATCTGGAAGGAAGTTATATTCTGAAATTATCTGTTCTATAAAGCTGTAATGTGATTATTTCTGCTATGACTTCTGTACGTTGTTGGTTATTCTGTACGATCATATCTGATCTGTGGTTTGAAGCTTGATGATCTCTGATTTAAACTTAGATTTTGATATGACTTCAGTTTTCCGTATCCGATGTTTGATTTCTGATTGAGCTGTTATCTATTCTATCTGTTATATGATTTCTGTGCGATTGTTCGAATTCTGTACGGATACTTTTCTGATATGTTTTCTGATGTGAGTTTCTAATTATTCTGATTGGTGATTGATGACTTGCTGAGCTGTTAGCTCATCCTTATTTTCTGCGTGGTTTTCAGGTTCTGGGAAAGGGAAGGAGGTCTTGGACTAGACGTTCTGAGTCTGATCTGAGATTAGGTATTTTGTACTTTTGATTTTTGTACAGTCATGACTTTTCTGTCTATTCTGTTCTTTCTGTCCGTAAGCCATGTACTGTATCTGTATATGATTGTTTTGATGAAAGAAAAGATAGATGAACTTTTCTATATTTGGATGTTTATAGTAGCTCTGTGTTTTTCTGTCCATACGATATTTGAAAGAAAGTTCTGAAGCAAATTCCAAAACTAGATCCTGGATTTCAAGTTTAAGTTCCGTCGCGGCCCGTTGCGAGCGGGATCCGTCCCGATCGGGTTGGGTCGTGACAGGGTAGAGGTTTGGTATTAGTTGGTGCACAGGGGGGAAGCTCAGCTTTAGTTGGCGACCGGGCATAAGTCCAGTGTCAGTCGGTGATCGGGCATAAGTCTGACGACAATCGATGGCCGAGCGGAAGTCCGATGATGGTCGATGAGGAGTCTAATGGCAAAAAAACTCTAGTTTCTCTCTCTTCCTTGCTTGAGTTCATCTTTTATGAGTAATGAGGGTTTATTTGTAGTATTGTGAGAGTGACGTGACCAATAAATAGGAGGGAGATAAGAGTAAGTTAAGAATTGTTTGAATGGAAGGCTGTTGTTGATCCCCTTGATCATGGACCGTTTAATAAGCATTTGAATGTCTTAATGATATCATAATTCGGCGATCTTGGACTCGTTGGATTCGTCTCGTCAAGCCGCCCGATTAGATTATAAGCATGTTACTTTTTGAATATGTTTGGTCATCCAATTTATGATTTGAACTTTCTAAATACCATCTGGGTTTTCGATTTGGACCCATTTGGGCTCGGATTGAGTCGAATTTAGTGTCGTTTGGTTCATATTTTAAAGACATTCAGTTCGACTATAAGTTTGTTGAAATCAGATTTCATGTGATATCAGATTTAATTTTAAAAGTTTCCAACTTAGTTTTGCCTTAAGATTCCTGCCCGATCAAGAATTTTTTATGATATATCAAAAATAAAAACTACATTATAATGCATAAAGAGGAACAAAAATAAAATACACATGGAACTCTTCATAATGTATGACTCATATATACATCTTGAACGATCTCTTCTTTCTCCTCATCTTATAAATTCCATAGCTAATCTCTGCAATCGACATAACGACGATCACAGCAATCTTACAAAATTCCAGTAAGTTTAATTTTGTTCCGAAGAGGAAGAAAAATACCCCCAGATGGCGAACTCGTTTAACCGTTACAATTGGAATCCAATCCGCCACGGCTACTATCATCAACCCCAGGTCCAACCCCAATCAATCAAACCAAAGGTCATCAATATACCCGTCCAGTTCATCGGCACTGACGAAAGAACAACCAAGATGTCACCGGCGACGCCAGCATTGGTGCCGTCTGAGGAGGCTAGGATATCTGCAGCTGTCACTATCCAAAGAGCCGTGCGAGGGTTCGTGGTGAGGAAGAATGCTCGAGTTGTCCGCCAGATCGCAGCGGAGGTGGATGAGATGGAGCGAATGTTGAAAGAGGAGGAAGCCAAGATTCGCATGGATGCAAGGGAGCGGCTTAGGGTGAACGAGGCACTTATGGCGTTGCTCCTCCGCCTCGACACTGTTCGTGGGGTGAGGGAATTTCGGAAGAAGGTCATCCGACGGGTCATAACTCTCCAGGAGACGATCGATTCCATCTCCGCGGCCGCCGATGGCACTACACCCGCGATCGGCGTAGCAGAGGACAGGGAGTATTCGAGCAGCGAAGCAGCTGATGAATCATTAATTGATAATGAAAAGGAAGCAGATCAAACCCTTGATCAGGACGAGGAGACGATGGAAATACCCCCGTCCGTTGAATCACCGAATGGAAAAAGTGATCTCATCGCAGCAGGCGATGATGGCACAATCTCCATGAGCGCCATAGCAGATAATCGGAAGGATTTGATGTTCGAAGCCGCTGAGGAGACAAACGAGGCCGCCGCAGAAATGGAGATGAAGATCCAAGAACTAGACGAATCGGCGAATACGCAAAATAATTTGATCGGTTTAGGGATCGGAAGTGGAGTCGATTCACTCGATACAGAAGAGATTCCGAAGGGTGATGACCTAGTATCGTCGCAGTGCTCTTCTTTGATGGTAGATTCGCCGACGGAGGAGAAAGGTCATGAAGGGATTGAGATGAGGGAGATAATGCAGAATATGGCTGCTGAGAACGAGAGACTAAAGCAGATGGTGGAGCAGCTATGCGCGACGAGCGCGGAGCAGTGCACCCTTATGGAGGGTCTCGCTGGCCGAATCGAGCGCCTTGAACGCTTCGTCGTCAATCGCATGGATCGCCGGAGGAAGAAGCGTGGACCTGTTTCCTCCGCCAAGTAGATGCTAAAATACGCAAAAGGAACAATCTCTTGTGGTATGTAAATCATTGAACGTTAAAGTGGCAAAGCCCACGAGAAGAAGAAATGTGCCGCAGGAAGTGTATTTTTGCAACAATTTCTGCAATATGGCTTTGTTTTTGCTAGAATTCATTGTTTTTTTTTTTTTTTTTCTTCTTTTTTGAATTCTGCTGAACAAGAACATGGTACAATCGGCTTCATTATGACATCTATGGACATTGCCGTCTTCAGATAATTGTAAGCTTGATGGGTATAAAGGATTCATGATGCTCTTCTTAGAAATACAGTGCAATTTTGATCTCTTTTTATAATAACGTGTATTTTCAACAATACTGTATTGAGTCGGTCCTACCAATAAGCCTAATATGATCTAATATGCTATTGCATCTCGGAACAATTATTACGTCCTCCGACCGGACGCAGAGGAACGTCCGGTCGGAGGCCAATTCCCGTCAAAAAACGAGTTGTACCGAGCAAATACTGAGCAATACCAAATAATAACGATGAATATCATCATTTGAAGACCCAATACCGAGTTATACCGAGCTAAATCGAGAAATACCGAGTTAAACAAAAGTTGTTCCTAGAAAAACTCGGTACAACTCGGTATAACTCGGTATTGGACTTCAAAGAGCGGTATTTCTCATTAATGTCAAATAATACCTAGTTGTACCAAGTAAATACCGAATTTTTTGGCAGGATTTTGCCTCCAACCGGACGTTCCTCTACGTCCTTACACCGGACGTAATAAAAGTTCTGCATCTCGGCCGTGCAATACTACTAAATTTTGAAGGCTAAGGACTGATCAAAGAGAGCGAGTAATGGATAGGAGTTTAGGAGAGCAATTTAATTGGAGAGCAAGGGGATATCAAAATGACCAGAGTAGGTTAAGTAAGGGAAATAATTATTGTGCGGAGTTCGGACGTCGTCCGGACTCCAATCACAGGTTATGTATAAGAGAAAAAAATTTCATGTGCATTCACACGATTAGAATCTATATGAAAAATTATGTTTGAATATCGCACATAATAAGAGAAACTTTTAAAGTTATCAATATTTAGGGCCTATTTGTATGTAGTAAGAATTAAATTTATGTCTTCTTAAATGTGAATTATAGTGGGAATTCTAAATATGAAAATTTTTTCCTCATTTTTAAAATTATTTGCGTCAAAATTGTTATTGCTGCCCTATTCTCTAATCTAAACTCTATACAGATAACAAAATAAATAATAACTTGCATTCATAGTTATATTATATTTTAACTAAACTTTAGGACTATCAAATCATGTATATTTATAAAACTTATATCTAAGCTGTATGTGTGGGAATTCATGATCACATGATTGATACAGTCCTTTCAACAAGTAATGTCTCAAACATTATCTATCTTGTTAGAATGATAATCCAATTTTTTTTTCTCAATTCGAGATCGACAGGAATATCCTCAAAATTTGCTTCTATACAACTTTGTTTTATTTATGTATTATTTTTTTCACATAAAATTTTCCCCTCATCTCCCTCAACTTTTTTATTGAAATATCTTTTCATACTAATTGAATAAAAACAAGATTAACAATTTGATTATAAGATATAAAACAAAAAAACATGTATGAAACAAAAGAGCTAAAGGAGATCTCTAATGTGGCTAGTACAATAATGCTTATTGGAACATAAATTTTAACTAAATGTGCAAACTAAGAGCATAAGAGCTTCAATGGGTTCAAGTATTAAGGGAATAAGAAAAATTTTGTATTTCAAAATCGAAGCATCATATACCTACAGAGCCGAGCACCGATTGCCGACTCGTTGCATGTTCGAACGAGATTAGAAGTGTGGGCGCATTGGGAGTGTTCGAATGAGATTAGAAGCAAGAAGGGCGTTTGGCGTTCCGACTTCCTGGCTTCCGGCCTTTGGCGTCAATCCGTGTGTTGTAAGAAGCCTTTCATGAAGAGTGTAAATATTAGAAAAAAAATAGAAAATTTTGTATTAAAAAATTACTTTAAAAAATAATAAAAGAACGATTCCAAACGAAATATTAAACAAGCATCTAATTGTTACCACCTACAATTGCCCCACCACATCATCGCTGTTGTTGTTACTTCATGGGCGTCATCTTTGTCAACATGTCTGTGTCCCATTGTAGACATTGCTATTCGTAGATACCATCATTATCACTGTTTAGTAAAATTAATAATGATTTATTCTTAAGACATTAAATATAATTCAATTTGTTTTAAATTATAAATAAGAATAATAAAAAATAAGAAATGTGCTCCAAAGTGGGCCAAAATATTTCCCCATCAAAATAATTTCCCCATCAAAATAATTTCCAGGCCAGAGAAAATCTCCGAGCTGAACCACCGACATCATCCGTAATTAGTCCGGAAAACAATAGCAAAATTGAAAATTACGAAGCTACCACGCTTGGGCTGCCCATGGCGGCGTCATCCGCTGCTTTGGTGTCTTATCTCTTCGCACCCAAACCCCTCTTTCCCTCTCCTGGGAGAAAGCTGCTTCTTCGTTCTTCCGGGCGAAGACGTGCTTCTACCATAGGCATGGAATTGGAGCCTGGAAAGCCAGTTTCCCAGTTCAAGGCTGTGGATTCCCATGTCCATGTCTGGGCTTCACGAGAAGAGGTGACGCAGTTTGCTTCTCAAAACCAAGGTTTAAAGCGAAAAGATGTAAAAGATCTCTAATTTATCTTAATGGCCCCTGCTCTATGCAGGCTTCGGAAAGATACCCATATTTTCCAGGGCATGAACCCTCGCTTCCTGGTGATTCCGAGATCTTGCTCAAGGTAATGTTGCAGCCCTTTTTCTGATTTCAGCGATCGTTATATTTTTCTTGCGTGTATTTTAATTATTATTTTAGCAAAAAGAAATGCTCCATCTCTACTACTGGTAATCTGATAAACATTATAAAATTAGGGACGATGCAGGCTAAAAATTGATTTTTTTGTTGTTTCTGAATATCTGCATGTCTTAATACATCAAGATTTTCTTGAAGTCTGTGTCTTTGCAAAGTGCAAACTGTTTATTGTAGGTTCTGAAAATTTTTTTTTCCTGGCTGATGATCTGTTTGCAAGGAAGGATAAAGAAAATTGAGAAATTGGCACGTAGTTACATTTTTTGATAATCTATGTTGTCCCCGTTGATATGTCTTGATGTATTTTGTGATGAACTACAAATAGGCTGTTTAAGTTATATGAATATGAGTTTTGGGCAGTATACTAGTCATTGATATACAAATTGATTTTGCCAAAAATTAGAATATTAAGATGAATGTGTGTAAAAAATAGAAATGGTGGATTGAAAAATGATTAGCTAAGATGGATGATGAGAGTTAAGGGTAATATGAAATATATTTTAAGTGATTTGGGTATGTATGATGATGGGTGAAAGAGATTCTCTAGAAAGAAAGTTAGGTAAAATCAGTATTCAAGGATTTTGAAGGAACATATGGAGATCTTAGGTGAAATATTGGTCCAAGTCATGCAAAAAAATTTTAGCATAATCTTGAGGATAATAAATTTAACACCTAATACAACACTCAATGGGGAAAATGGAGAATGTTGATTCATAAAGTTAAACTCAAAGTATTTGAGTTAATGCCATGATGATGATGATGATGAGGCTTGATGTAGAATGTTCTAGGATTTATGGATTCTAATTTGAATCTAGCATGCACTATAAGTTATATGCAATTAATTTGTACAAACATGTTAATTTTAATAGAAAGCATGCTATGGATTTCAAACAACTATTTACTAATAATGAGAGTATAAGTAAAATTAAATCCAATAACAATCTTAAGATCTTGGCCTTTTAATATAAATTAATTAATAAAAAAATTAAAGATCATGAAAGTCAGGAACAAATTGAGCTTTTGTGCATGGAAAAAATTAGATTGTAAAAGAGTTGGAAGATGCCAATGTTTGAATAGGGTGATCTCTTTTGGAAGAAGTCTCACATTTTAAGTCTTGGAAGAAGAGGAATGGTTTAAACGTCAAAATGATAGATTTAGAGAACCTATAGAAGTGATTTTCTACGTGGCTCATATCTCATTATTCCTCATGAAAATAAAATTTGATAAATTCGTTAGAATTGAACTGCAATATTAGAAGTTGGAGTAGGAATAATGAACAACTTCCAAGAACAACCAGAGCTGAATTGAAGGAATCAAATCTAGGAATAAAGCAAAAATTGTGTAGCTGCAAGAGATAATCCCATGAAGAATCGTAGAATCTGCAGGTCAGCGGAAATTGAATGCCATAATCCCCTTTGAATACGAATAGAGCTGCAAGAATAGGATAAGCAAGGCAGTACACATGAATTACAATCTCGTAAAAGGTTACTAAGGATAATGAACTTAGGAAGTTTTCCATGAATTTCTTTTATTTTGCAATATGTACTTGAAGTAATCTATGAAGTTTCATACCAATATTTTGATACTATTTTTCGAAGTTTCTGTTTTATTAGCATTGATCCATATGTAGCTTTTTTTGTTTGGAAAAATCTCCTCAATTTTATCCTATTTCGTCGTGGCAGTTTTACAGGTTCTTTTCGGCAATTTGACATGTTACAGTTATTTAGTATTAGTATTATAATCACGACTGCTCCTATTTTTAGAAACCCACTTTATCATTTGTTCTTTGCCATTCATGCTTTCTACATGTTATTTTGCCTCTGCTTAGGAAGCTTTTTTTTTTTTTTTCCATTCATTTCTTTGAAGAGCAGTGTTACCAGTAGTGGCGCACTATTAGGAAATTTATACCTTAATATTACTTCCTTGCAAGACAAACAAATTTAAAATGTTTTTCTTTTAGTCTTTATGATGTGAAATTTGCTGCTATTCATGCTAAAGAAATTGGGGCTAGAAGGCTCTATTTGGGAACTAGAACATCAATTTTGTCATATTCTAGTTATTCTGAACTTGTTTTTATGTGGCATCATTTTCATTCATTTCTCTTCCATCATTCCTACAGTGTATGGGAGAAGCGAATGTTGATGGAGCGCTTATTGTACAACCAATAAATCATATGTTTGACCATGACCTTGTCACAAGGTAATCTCTTTCACACAGTCACACTTAAATTTTCTTTCATCTTCTTATGGTATGCGTACCAACAATTGTCAAATTAGTGTTCATTTCATGTATTTTGACATGAGTTTCATCATAGATTGCAAAATTAACATCAATATTAACCATTGTCCTGTAGACCTGAAGTCAAAATAATGAGTTTCTAGGGGAATCCAACTTACGAGTCAGTAAGTCAATCTATGAAGTTATGAGAGGATGGTGGAATACAGACCCAGAGATATTATATTTAACTTGAAGAATCAATTTAATTTAAGCCACAAAGATATATTATGTAGATGATTTTGATAAAACAATTAGTTTATAAGTATAAAGAGCGATGAAATGATGTTCATTTGACTTTAATTGATTTTGACAAGGCATGCTATTATGTACCGTATTAATTTGATGACCATTAAGGAAAAAAATTATAGAAGGCATATTAAAGTTACTTAATATAATTATGATAGAGCAATTACTAGTAATAAACATTGTTATGAGGTGAGTTAAATGCTTACACTAGTAGCAATTTTTAAGCCACATATGAGAAGGTACCTTAGTGTATGTTAGTTAAATACAATTTAGATAGGTGAGACCTTGCATGGGGCCAATACAAACGTTTGAACATCATCATCTATTAGCATTGATACCTAAAAAATTCCCCCAATCAAGCACAAATCTCGATGCATTATTTGAATTTAAAAGTTTTGAGAGTAAATCTTGGACAATCCGATTGTCAATTTTAGCAAAGATTTTTTAGTACATGGTTCTAACCTTTAAATCGATCCCCTCATGGCCTTTAGATTGCAATCCATGTGCCTTCTATTTCCTAGCTGGGAACTTTTTTTTTAAATAGTTAAATTTATTTTCCTTAAAAGTTTTTTAGAGAACTCTGTATATACATTTATGCTTTGTACATAATCAAAAATAATAGTTAATGAAGCTTTTTTTTTTTTTTCCCTTTTTACAATGAATAAGTAATATTCTTCTTCTTTTAATCATTGTTTTCACTTATTCTCTTGTCTTTCTTATTAAAATTCTCAAATCCCATTTAACAAATCGAATATTATTTTTGACTTTTTACTATAATTATATAAAGTTATCTGCTACTTAATGGTGACATCCTAGCAAGTTTTTCTCTTTCTTTGCACAATTTGTTTAAGTGGCGACACATTAAGTTAGGGTGATGCCCATTCCCTAGTAATCCTTTACTTCTAAGCACAATGAGGTTAGATTATGACGTATCAGTTTTGTGGAACACCCTAACGAGAGGAAAAAAATCAATTTTGGATTCATTTTGTTAGTTTTGAATAAATTTTATGATTGATTGTTGGCGAAACAATTATGCTGAAGCTTTCTCACATGAGTTTCCTGATGGTAATGGTGGTTTTAGAAAAGTTTTTCAAATCACGGAAAATTATGGAAGATAATAGGTTTTAATAAATTTAGATGTTGTGAAATTAATAATGAAAAATTAATAAAGCTTTTCTTTTTTATTATAGGTTTAAAAGGGTTGATTTATTATGCTTGAATTGAGCATATAAATAGGGGCATAATTCTTAAGAGTTAGAGCTATGTGGTTAAAATAGCGAACTACATAAAGGATATTATGTGATAAGAGAATGTTGGAATATATTGGAAACTATAAAGTGCGAAACTTTAATTAGATTATCTTATATTATGTGCAAGGATGCTAATGAAAACGAAGTTGAGCATGCCAAAGATTAAACTCTTAAGATGAATGTGCAAATAAAGATCGCAAGATAGAAGGATAAATGATTTATTAGAGACAATAAATGTAGCACCTATTTAAAACAAGTTAGGTAGAAAATAAAGATACATAAAAGAATATGAATGTATCGATTTAATTGGAAATAATAGGAGGTAAAGTGAGGCGATCAAAGTGAATATTGCAGTGCAAAAAGATGATGATGCTATGCATAGAATCATGTAAATGTTTGATCGAGTCCCTCCTGGACCAGTCCCGCTTGTCCTTTGTGGACCGGCTTTTGGGGGCTGATTTGGAGGGGATTAATTAAGAAATGTTTCCTGATTGAAGAAGACATATTTGGTGGCTGATTTGGAAACTCGTTTGGAGGGGATTAATTAGGAAATGTTTCCTAATTGAATAGGGAAGATTTTGGGCTGGTTTGGGAGCTGATTTGGATGGGAGTAATTAGGAAATATTTTCTAATTGAAGAGGGTATGTTTTGGGGCTGATTTGGAAGGGATTAATTAGGAAATATTTTCTAATTAAAGAGGGCAGATTTGAGGGCTGATTTGGGAGGGAAATAATTTAGGAAATATGACAGATTTGGGAGGGAATTGGGGAGGGCTGTTTGGGTATTTGTCGTTTATTGTGTGCTTTAAGTAGGGAATTTTTCCTAGGGTTAGGGGTATCTATTATTTGTTGAAATTAGATTGTTCTTAGGGTGTTTGGGCTATAGCCGACAGCTAGAGATTTGGGAGAGCCAGATCTTCCTCTCCAATTGAAGATCCACTTGTATCATGTCTTTTCTTTCATAAACTTTCAATAAAAAAAATGTTCCTGTGTTCTATTCATGTTTTTATTGTAATTGGCTTTTTGAAATTACTGAAATCAGATTTCAGCCAAGACTTTTCCTAAATTTCTGCAAGCACTTCTTATCAGCAAAAATTAATATTCTAAAACATTTTTGATAGAAGTTACAATTTTTTACATAACCACTAAGCATTTTCTAGATAGAACTTGCAGAAAAATAAAGCTTGAATACCGCATGATTTGTCATGTTGCAAAACCATTATCATGAATAAAGCAGACAAGTCACTGTAATGAGATTACTCATCTGGATTATACTCAGATTCTTGAGTAAACTTTTCAGTTTGTTAATATTTTTTATCAAGATAAACCTTATATTTGATATATACATCAATTATTGTATGTTATAGATTGTGACATTTTATTCCTTGATTTAACATTTACCTACACTGCTTTTATGTCATAGAGCTTTGAAGAAGCATCCATCCAAATTCATTGGATGCTGTCTTGCAAATCCCGCAGAAGATGGAAGCGGTATTTTGCAATTTGAGCATCTTGTCTTGAAGGTTTTTTTTTTAACCTCAGAAAAAAAAGCTCCTTAACAAATATGAGAAAAGATTGCATTGGGGTAATGCAAGTGCCTCTTTCTTATATTAGGAAGGATACCGTGGAGTTCGGTTCAACCCAAACATATGGCCCTCTGGTCAAAAGGTATCCAAGGAGATTTTAAAGACTCTTTAATTTCTATTTGATTAGTTCTAGGTCTATAGAAAATATTCAATTTCATTCTGTAAATCAAGCAGATAACTAATGAAATTGGGAAAGCATTTTTTAGCAGAGCAGGAGAACTTGGAGTGCCAGTAGGCCTTATGTGTGCTAAGGTACTAAACTGTGACCCTGCAGTAAGATATCATAAATCTTTGTAATGTAATCATGATACAAATATCATTACATGTTCGGTACTTAGTGTAATATTGTACTTGCTAAGTTGCTTGTGAATTGTTGTGTTCTTCTAGTAAAACATGTTCTTTTTGTTCTGTCTCCATGAATTTTTACTCTCTAGCAGTTTATACTTTATAGACTCGTATATTTCTACCCCACTTTACCTTGCATCCTTCAGCATCATAATAGATATGATCTGATGTTCAAATTTAGTTGGCATACGATACATAGGTTACTGGTAAAAATACTAGATTAAAAATTTTCTGTATTGCAGATGCAATGTTATCTTAGGTTGCAGCTAATAGGGCTGTCTTGGACAAATTTATTTCAACTGCATGGTTGGCGTGATAGTGACCAATAAAAGTTCATTCATGGCTGATGCCAGAAGCTATAGCACGTTGTGCAGTATTTTTTTTTCCAGGGAAACTTAGGCTTCGTTTGGGGCGGCTTTTTTACTGCTTCTTAAAGCAGTTTTTTAGTATAAAAATTTAAATTTTTAAACTAGAATGTTGTTTTAAGAAACAATAAAAAAGTTGTCCCAAATGAAGCCTTAGTTTTTCTGAAAATTTCTTATAGTTTTATATCAGTTGCTATTTGAAGTGATAAATTTGTTGTTCATGCTTCAATTAATGCACAAAGAGACGGATAAGCTTAAAAAAAAAGTAGGATTTGTTAATCTTTGTTGATAATTTCTGTAGAAGATGTTAAAAACTAGTAACATTTTAGATTAGCTAATCCAAATTATGTCGGTATATGATGAACTTTCTTTTATAGGGTATTAGTTTCCATTTATCAGAAATTGAGGAGTTATGCTCAAAATTTCCGTCGACTTCTGTCATCCTTGATCACATGGGTTTCTGCAAGCCACCAATGTGAGTTAACTTGACTAATGCCAAATGCAAGGAATTCAGTCACTTGTTCAACAAAAAATGATCATCGTTATTTTATGTCTTGAGCATAGAAATGATGAGGAAAGAAAGACTTTTTCTGGGCTGCTTAGGCTTTCAAAATTCCCACAGGTTTGATTCTTGGCCTTATATACAAATATTTGTTAAAATTGACGAAAAAGGATTCATGTAGCCGACTCCACATAGCGGGACAAAGGCTTAATGTTGTTGTTGTTGTGATTACCTCAATCAATTTCCTTCAGTTGCACTTACACTCAGATTCCTTCATTCTTCTCCGAATGTTTTTTTATCCCACCACTTCTATTGTCTTCAAATGATGGTTACATCATTTATATAATCATGATGTGAGAACTGCTTAAAGATTTAGCTTCTTCATTTTTCATGATGATGTAATTTTCATTTGCGCATGTGTTAAAAATGATAATTTCTCATATAAAAGCTCGTCAAGTTACATATATCACTTTTATCACTTTAAATTTCATGATAGTTATTTAAGTTATTTTGAAGTGGAAGATTTTTCTTGATCTTGTATTTGAAGCTCACAAACTAGACAATGACAATTGTTTTTTGAGAGAGAAAAACTCATCTCATTCTTTTTCTATGTGTGAGTGTGTGAGGGATGGAGAGAAAGTTAGAGAGAGAGAAAAAGGAAACATGATGATTGTGCTCATGTTAGACATATTTGAGATGAAAAGTCTTCTTTTCAAATAAAAATATATCTCTGGAAGAACTATATAGGGGTGTCAATAATTGATCCGACCCGCCAACCCAACCTGGAAAATTCGGATTTGAGTTGACATGTTTAATAAATGAGTTGGATTCGGGGGTTTTTCAACCTTTTTTTTAAACAGGTCGGGTTCGGGTTGAATAGCGAACCTGTTTTTAATTAGTTTAATTTTTTTTACTTAATTTTTTTAACATATGGGTTTAATCTTATTATTTTTATCAAATATTCTAAATTTTATAGTTAATAGGTTATCATTTTTTTTTAATCAAAATAGGTTAACGGGTTGAGTTTGCCTCATTCAGGTTGCTAGTCGGTTGAGTTCTGGTTGGTGTTTTTGATCTGCAGATTCAATGGGTTGGGTTTAGGTTGATTGAATTCGGGTTGGGTCGATTTTAGGTCGGACCCGTTAGACTATTTTGACACCCCTAGAACCATATTACACATTTCCATGGCAGCCTATAGTACATCCATCTACCACTTTGTTTTACAAATAAAAGTATCTAGATAAACATGCATCTGACAAATACAAAGAGAAATAAAGAGAGGGAGGGCGGTCATCCTTAGTAACTCAAACACTATTTTTTTTCAATCAATTATTTCTTAAGTATAGAAGGGTCATCCTTATAGACTAAATAATTCTCATATCCATTTTATGTTCCATAACGATTGGCAGGGGTCATCCTTACCAACTAAAATATCATTATCATTCCTATCATATCTTTTGTCGTGGTTTACCTTGCAAAAACAGCCATCAGGATATGGGTGAACTCTTCTTTGACATATACTCATATGATGAAGGATTTATATGCAATATGTTATTTTTGGTCTGTTAATGGGGCTTCAGTAGTTATGAATTGGCGTGTTTTAAAAATAATGTGAAAGAAAAATGCTTAGAAATGTATAATATTGACTACTCTTGGGACAACACATCGAGCAGTGATACATGATTTTAATAATTTTGGAGCTTTGGTAAGTAGCGAGTAGGCATCAACTTCCAGTTGGAATACTTTGAGAAGGCTACTAAAGTGATGTCAATGTTAACCTCGATATGACTTTGAAAATCGAACCAACTAATCATGACGAAAGTGGTGAACGATGATCGTGACATTGTGCAAAATTGCTCAAACATTTGTTCGCTCGCAAAACCAACTGCGCATTTGCATTAAGAACATCGAAATTGCTATAGAAGGATCCCTCACAGAGTCACAGTTGACTCAAGTGAGTGCAAGTGAAAGCGACAAAGTTTGATTCAACATTATGCAAAATTGCTTGAATATTGTACATTCGCAAAATGAATTGCCTTGTTACATCCAGAATATTGAAATTACTATGTAATTGCACCCATATTGCCCATGTTATAGCACGGGAGAAAGGACAAAAAACTACCTACGCATTTGAAATGGGAACAGAGATTCAATGTGCACAAGTCATGAAATTTGGTAGGGTGCATCGATACACAATTAAAATAAATGTTTTTTAAATTTCTCTAAAAAATTATTATTATTACTATAAAATTCTTATTTAAAATTATCATTTTAATTTTACAAAAAGATTAAAAAATGTTATATATATATATATCATATTTAAAATTTGGAATCTTACAACGTGCACTTTTTTTAGTGCTGCAGGCAAAAAGATAAAAGTTAACTAATTAAGGCTAATTAGAAAATATCCTACTTATAATTAAAAACCCTCATTGCACTCTCTTGCTACTAGTCCTAATATGTTCTTCTTCCCCATTTTCCACGCGGCAAGTCCCCAGTAAGGGTGTCAATTTTTTACCTGCCCGATTTCGGGTCGACCCATTTTACAAACGGGTTGAGTTCCAATATATGACATGTTTTAAAAATCTTGTCGCGTGCTACGCTCTCGCACAAGCTTATTACGTGTTAGGTCGGATCAACCCGATAACTCGGCGAGTCGGGTCCGGGTCTGAATTTTTGGCCGTCTAAATTTCTAATCGGTTTACAAACTCGGGTGTGGTTCAAGTCAGTTGAATTGGACTCAAGTCAATTTTGGGTTTGACTTAAATACCCATTTTGACACCCTAGTCTTGAGCCCCTCCCTTTGAGCGGTACTGGCTCGGTACCGGCTCGGTACCGAGCATGTACCGCTCGAAAGATAAAGAATTTGTTCTTTGTTGTGAGCTCCGTCGAATCCTAATGAGGCGTCGCCTCACACTGCCTCGAGGCGTTATGCCTCGACGCGTACGCCTCGCTGAAAAAAATCGTACGCCTCGTCAAATACATTGAGGCTTAAGCCTCAAGGCGCCAGGTTAGCGCCTCGAACTGAGTCATGCCTCTGTTCGGATGCCTCGACTGCTTTTTTAATCGATGGCCTGGTGGCAAGGGTTCGCCAGTGATGGTGCCAGGGTGGCGCTCCGGGATACTTCAGGCCTTAGAGCTCTCTTGAGTCGCTAGCCTAATGTCAAAGCCTCCAAAAGTTCAAACTCCCCTTGATGTGGGATGTGTTGATTTATTTATAGATTTTGAGAGTGATATGCTCTATAAATATGGAGAAAATTCGGGGCAAATTTAGAGTGCTCCATTGAACAACCCATATTGATTCCCTTGACCATGGAGCATTTGTAAAGCATTTAAGTTTCTTAATAATGTCAGAATTAAGCAACCTTGGGCTCGTTGGATTCATCTCCCCAAGTCGCTCGATTCAACTATAAGCATGCAAGATTTGTGGGGGTGTCAATATCTTACCCGATTTGAAACCCGACTTGACCTGACCTAAAAAAATTTTTGTTCGGGTCAACCCGTTTTGCAAACGGGTCAGGTTCTGGTTTTGTTTTCTAACCCATTTCCTATTTTGGCTCGGGTTTGGGTCAACTTGAAAATTTGAAATCAAACCGAGATTGACCATTTGACCTGGTTCACCCTCTTACCTGCAACGTCAGCGCTCGCATCCACACCCACTCCCTCATATGCTCCCGTGCCGGTGTCCGCACCCATGGTTGCCCGCAGGTGCTCACCCCCTTCGCCCGCTTGCACTGGTACCTGCACTCGCTCGAGCCTCGTTGCCTTGGGGGTTAGCAGGTTGGTCGGATCAACCTGAGTTAGGGGTGGGTCAGGTCCTTGTCTTGATTTCTGATCCGCCTAATCGGATTGGGTTCAGGTCGGTTCAATTGAAGGCGGGTAAGTTTCGTTTTGCACTCAAACTTGACCCGAAAACTCATTTTGAGACCCCTATATATTTGGATATCATTTGGTCATTCAATTAATACACTAAAGCTTTCAAATTTGCTTTGGTCTCTTGATTTTGGGCACATTTGGGCTCAGATTGGACCGATTTTGTTGTTGTTGGGTTCATCTCATCGAGACATTTGAGTTGAGTATAAGTTTGCTGAAATTGGAGTTTGGATGGTCCTAATTTAATTTTGAAAATTTCCAATTCGGATATGCATCAAGAATCATGCCTAATCAAGACGATTTTTGGTGACGTATCAGACTTCTCTATCTAAAAGGTGAGAATTCTCACTTCTTTTTTCCTCTCTAAACATTGAGGGAAATATCTTGTTCCCTCTCTTCCTCTCTCTAGATTGAGAAAATCCCTCTTTATTTTCTCCCTCTCTCTATATATATTCATATAAAAAAGAAAGAAAAACTAATAAATTTTTGTGTTGTAGTTGCTATCTGCTAGTGATATTAAGAATATTGCAAAAGATGTCCTTGGAGTAAAAAGAAAGAAAAACTAATAAATTTTTGTGTTGTAGTTGCTATCTGCTTGCAAATTCTTCTTTGACTTCACCATGGAATGACCTTTAGAAAAAATCCTAAATCCCATGGGCAATGTATTTGACATGATGAGTAAAATATGTATGTACTTTTCCTAGTGTGATAGAGAAACTCGTAGGTGATGCTTGCTACATAGCGAAATTTATGTACTGTTGCAAATTCTCTAGTATAGGTATTTCATGCATGCCTTTCTTGGCACCATGTATTCTTAGAATTCTGGTTGTGTCTTTGTTCATCGACTATGTATGCTTTTTTAGTGTGGTGGTTAAACCCAGACTTCACGTATATTCCCCTTATGTGGGAGAGACATTGGGAGGATGTAGAATTTGGATTAAAAGGACTCTAAAGGATAATACTTAAGGGGCTTAATAAAAACTAAATATAGTTAAATAAAATGATGAACAATTAATGCTACAACAACAACAACATCAAGCCTTTATCCCACTACATATGATCGGCTACATGAATTCTTTTTCTCCATTTTATCCTGTTAAGAGTCAAATTCTCATTTAAATCTAACAAAGAAAGGTCATTTCTAATATTTTATAATCAAATCACCTCTAGCTTTCTTAACCAGATCGAAACATCGAATGATAAACTGAAAATTCAGGACTTACAATGAAATATGAAAGACTTGAAAACTCACTAAAAATGTGAACATAATCTCACTACCACACCCTCTAAACCCTCAAGAACCCACTACAAAGAACTAAAGTGGACCCAGAATGTGTGAAATGAATTAGTTCCCCATATTTATAGATGGAGAGGTGAACTCTCATGGGACCTGCTACATTAAAAATAATTATTTCAAAATGTTAAGAAGAATAGCATGAAAAGGTTGCCAATATTTAAACTCGTCATAAATTCACGTTCTTTGCAATCAGATTAACTACATTTTTTTGTAGGCAGACAGAAGGTGATCATTAAAAAACTCAAAATAAAAAAATTGCAAGCATCCAAGTGACAAAATATAAGTGCAAATATCAAATTTCAGATAATTTCAAGACTAATGCGAGTTACAAAAAATGATCTCCAACTCCAATATAATGTCTCAAAATTCATGCAAGTATTAGAGAGGCATGCAAAATGGCCGAATTTGAATATATTCAAGTCATAAATATGAATCATGGGACTTTCAAATTTTGCTAAAGCATCTCAAGAAGAGTGTAAATGCAATAAGCGCATAAAAAACTGTATACCTGCGTCATATATGTATACTGAAACTATACAAGTATATGACATACTAGCATCAAAAAATTGTAGAAGTACATCAAATCTTTTAAAATTAAAATATTTGTATGTGATCTAACCAAGTGCATTAACTTCTTAAATTTGAGGTTTGAAATTATTGCACGAGTTAAAATAAAAGTGAATTAAATTTCAATCTGCTCTAGAAATCATACAACTTGTATCTAGAAAGCAAACAATTATTTTAAAAAACTTACAAGCTTCCTTTCAGGCATAGATTGAAGCTTTCATTTTATACAATATCCTTGAGTGGTCTGCTCTGCCTATAGGGTAGAGTCGTAAGTCCCACTCTTCAAATCTGATCCTCCTCCTTGTGAGTATTGGAGTTGACAAGTCTCGAAAGATATCATAACAACAATTTTTAAATGGTTCACCATTATTCTCATGATTGAACGCAATTATAGAAGTCCAAGAAAATATTTGGTTTTACATTCATATTAGACCTTCAATTTATTTTATGAAGAAAATTCATTAAAAAATATACTCTCTAGTTCGTTTATATGGTAGCTAACAAAATTACCACTTGAACCCGATTCTTTGCTAGTAAGTGGGCAAAATTGATAAAGTTCAAATAATAAAGTAAAATTTTCAACAACCCCAATGATAGCCATGTTGGAGGGGTGCCTATTTTCAAAATGCTCTCAAATTCTAAAGTTAATTATTTAGGGTTTAAATTCTAATGAAATTTAAAATTTTAATATTTATCAAAATTTAAAAATATTCAAGTGAAATCTATCGCTTATAATTTAAGATAAAATCAATCTACTCTTCCCAACTATTTCTCTAGAGTATTAAATTTGAGAATAACTTAAGTTCATGAAGAGCAAATTTCTTGTTGACAATATGACTATAATTCATCCTAAAATGACCATTCACCAATAAGGATATGACGCATGTCTTCTTAATAATAATTTTGCCATCAAATGATATCACATGTAAACAATTATGATCGAGGCCCTCTGACTTGCTAAATTTGTCATAAAATGACCCATAAAATTATGGTCATGCCAAAGCCTGCAAATTTCTCAATGACTAAAGACCATTGAGTAATGAATCATAGGTTGCACTTTGATAAGACACAAATCTTTCTGTCAACTAAGGTCAATATAAGTTTGCCCCCTTAAAACAATCACCATAAATCTATAAGATTTCCTTAGGCAAAACAAGTCATGACTAGCGACAATGATCCTTCGATCAGATTGTATTGACTACTTCCTCTGTCGTAGAACAGGGTTCATGATAATGAAATCATGAGATCTTGGCCGGGTTCATCACCATTCCCCCAACTTAGTTGAAGTTGGAGGTGTATCTTATCAAAATTCCTCACGAATCTCTAGGTAGTATCTTATCTTCAGTTAATTTACTTTCTGAAAATTTGACTCAGAACTACCTATACTCTCTCTACAGAGTCAACGTGCAAATTTTCGGAGCCCACATTCAACAAACATTAAAGGCAACAAGTGAGCAGTTTTGGAGGTAGCTGGAAGTGTTTTATTGAATTTGATTACAGGAAATTAACTTATTTATAAGTAGTTATAAAAGTAAAAAATTTATACTATCCTTGTCTCTTCCTATAGTGACTCCCCAAAAGAAGGAAACAAACTTAAGAATAAGAATTTAAGAACGCCTTATATTGAATTTAAAGTCAAAATACAAATTTATCCTAGGCATGAAACATTTAAAAATCTTCCCTACCTATGATTGGTCGATTGGATAAGTTGGCTGAACTTGCTTGTCCCATGGTCATTATTATCTAATGGTCCAGATTTTTTTACCTTCCGATCTTGATCATTAGCTATTCGATTGAGCACCCGCTTTTACCCATAAATATCTCTTGATTTGATCTTCAATGGTGTTATTCAAAAATCAACACCATCAAAGATGTTATATTCAAGAGAGAATTTTTGAAACTATAATGAACGTCTTTTTTATCTTTCTATGATTGGATGCATAAATCATGATTGTAAATGATGTGACTGATCATCTACTAGATCCAATCCCTAAATCAAACAATCTATCCTTTATGCCATGAGTAATAGAGAAAGCTTCACAACACACTCACTTATCAATGAGAGAGTGCAACCCAAATCATTTTACATTAAAGTAACTACTAAGTGGTCCATGACTTATCTAACAAAATACAAAACAGTTTACATGAAAAATGCATCACTAAGATGGGTCTATTAAGATTAATGTTGAAGAATTAAGAAGGGAAAAGAGGTAGACAAAAAATAATATAGACAGAAGTTGTGCAGAAATTGTGCAAAATAAGTTCATCAACACATACAACACAATAAAAATAATTGAGAATGAGGATTCATAAAACCTTATAGTTGAAATTTTGTTAAAGTTGATGATTGTGATGTGCGGTGCTATTTGGTCTTTCAGGTGTATCTGAAATTTAGTGCATTGTTTCGGTTGTCAAGAAATTCATTCCCTTATGATGATACGGGTGAACTTCTTTCCCAAGCAATCTCCAGCTATGGATCCAACCGCATCATGTGGGGAAGGTACTTAATTGCTCACTTAATATTTTCTGATTCCTTTTACTACGATTAGATTTATGTTCATGAAATGGCTAGATTAAGCTGCATATAAAAGCTTCCGTAATGTTGATACTCTCCAACTTTCCATTAATTCTGATCTCATGATCTTGCAGTGACTTCCATTAATCGTGCCTAAATACTAGCTTGAAATTGCTTATCATAATATTTCTTCAATGGAAAATGCTTGAATCTTAATTTGCGAAAGGCCTAATCTTACTTGAGTAAACTTTGTGAATCTTAATGAATTTCATGTGCAATTCTTGAATGTTTCACATCATAGTCAGATTGCACTGTCATCATTGGATTTGGAGTGGATAATGGGCAGAACTGCGGCACATCTTTTTCAGCATTCATGGTATGCTTCCTAGATTAATGTACATCTGAATACTGTTGTTTTCAGAGAAGTTTTGTGTGTGCGTAGATTTTTTTATTTTTTTTTGTAACAGAAATGCTTGAAAACTTACTTATATATGATTTAAGTTTTCCTTCCACTACAGAGATGTTGTTTGGTTTGTATCTTAATGTGGGATGTTGATGTGATGGCAAAACATCTGTGTTTGTGCTTCTGGTTTGCTCGAGTAGTTACAGGAAGTGATATTTCAAGTACATGGAGGAGGTTACTCTGCTTCAGATGAATTTGATCCAAGTTTCAGCTGGCGCAATTAATACTTGCAACATGTATCAATTCTTAACATTCGATCCCTCCATTAGTGAGATTTCAACTCATCTTATGGCGACAATGCACCACTATAAATATTGTAGTTAGGACACTAAGGAGGGGCACAACCAAATTCCAGTGATAAAAGTTTAGAATCTACATAGAAATATACATTTTATACTGGATCCTATTTTATTCAATTTGTTACATAGTGCTTTTACTCCCATTCTTCTCGGATATTGAATACTTGTTCTTGCTCGTCGGCCCACATTATAGGGGGTGTAGGTTAAAAGACCAAATACCTAACATACTCATGCCTCTCCCCATATCTTCTTCCTATCTCCTCCCTATGAATAGGCTCTAGAGGTCTTCTTTCTTTTCCCTCCAAGATCTCCACGTCGTGATAATCACTTCGGCGGGTGGAATTTGTATTTCCTCCTATCGACACTCTTGCCTCCAATGTTGTTGTTTGGTTGTGAAGATCCAACACCTTCACCAGCTTTTCTAGGTTGGAGAACTTATGCTCCATGGAGGAAATTCTATCCTTCGCCGTTCCTTTGATTTGGCTCATCTCTCATCCAAGTCGTTCTTTCAAGGTATCAACCTTCTTGGCCGACATAAGTACCCGGAGCTTGGCCAAACACCAAAAAACAATAATTCTGGTCCTCAAACAGCATAAATCTGCACTTTGGAGGGGAAAACTCCGCAAAAATCAGCAAGGTAATACCTCAATTTCAGTGCAGGGTACCGTTATGATACCAATTTGATAAGAAGTGCTTGTAAAAATCCTATTTGCCTTGGCTGAAATTAAATTACAGCAATCCTATACACAATCTCCAAGAGGAATTAAAAGCAATAATAAGAGAAAACTCTTTTTAATTGATAATATACGGAAGAAAACAACAAGATACGATGGATCTTCTATTAGAGAGGAATATCCAACTCTCCCAAATCGGTAGCCGCCGGCTAGAACCCAAAACTCCCTATGAACAATCTAAATTCAACAAATATCATCATAACCCTAACCCTAGGAAAATCGCCTACTTAAAGCATCCAATAATAATGTAAATCCCAACTTTTGAATTTTCCCTTCTAATCCCCCTTAATTTCCTCTCCAATCAGCTGCTGGACCCGCTAATTAGAAGAGGCGGGAGTTCCTAGAGTTCCGCCTTTTGTGTACATGAGCCGGTCCAGGATGGACCAGTTGGACCAGTCCAAGAGGGACCGGTTTAACACTGCCATCATCTGATAAAAAATTGATCATGGGAGGTTGTGATCTTCATTATTGTTGTGGATAATTACAATGATTATTCTTGTAAAAAACTATAATAACCCTCAAACAATCTGTGACTAGTACTATTTTAAGTTCACAACAAGTTTTCTTTATGATCGAAAAAGCATTGATGAAATTTCTCTTCTAGCATCCATTAATTGGATAGTACTTTTCAACATTATGTGAGTTTTTTCAGGTGACCATTGTGCGAGCCTTTGGGGACCAAATATTTGTCTTTAGCATTTCTTAAGTCTTGGTTTTTTGTACACATCAATGGACCCGGCTTTGCTTTTTAGCATCATCCATGCCTCATATTCTATACGCTTTGCACTCCCATTGGTCATCCAAAGACACCATAATAATCTCATCACATGAGTTTGCCACATTAGCTACTGACAGTTTTTCTTTTTTTATCTCATCTATCAAAAGTTATATTGTATTTTCCTTGTATTGAAATCCCTATAACTATCTGTAGAGGAATCATCTTTATATTAACTTTTGTAGGCACTATAATTTTACTGCTTAGAGACTTCTTCACAGCCATTTTGACTGTACGTATGCAGATTTTTGAATTGAAATTGTATTATCTTGTTTTAAGTACTCGGCATATGTTTTCTGCTTGTATAATAAAAATCCTTACCAGCTAAAAAACTACTTATTATTTGTACAAATTATCTATTCATTGGATTGTTAGAGGCCAAAGATTCATAACCAGCTTTTTACCCACATCGATCATATAAATTTCTTATGGTTGGATGAGTTCGACTAGATTGTCAGCAATTTTATGACCAATATTATGATCTGTCTAATTTGAAGGAATTGATAAAATAAGATATAATTTTATTTATAAAAGAGTGCTAGGTGTATGGTTTCAACATTATTAATAAAAAATGAGATTTATCTAAAACTATAAGAGCAAATATATTTTTTATTCAATTATAATGAAAAAAAAAAAAGATTCATCCTTGTAACTATACTCTTTTTATTATAAATAAGCAATAAAAAAATTTGCTAAATTTCTCTTCAACCAATACGGTAAAATAATTTTTGATTTAAATATTCAGGGGATCTACATATATAACACTCAAGATCATCCTATTTATATATTTAATATTTAAATCTTACTAACATAACACTGCATTAATTTATTTAATGAAACTCTCGATGATAAAGTGGAAATCCCGTTCTGGTGTGATGGGATCTCATCGGACAATGAGGTAAAAATTAATATTTTTTGTGAGATTTATACATATAGCACTTAAAATCATACTTGTTATATGTTTAGCACCTAAATTTTACTATTCATATATTATAATACTATATTATCTACCTTAATAAAACCCTTAACGATGAAGAGGAAATCATGATGGGTTGTAATGGATCTCACCAGACAATGAGGAAAAAATGAGGAAGTTATGATGGGATGTCATTGGTGTTATGTGTGGAATTTGATTATGTTGATCAATCAGAATGTTTTGTTGCCTCGAACCTCAAGTTTCTTTTGCTCGTTGCAAGGTGCGGGGGTTTACCCCCTACTTGGGTTCGGGTGCTTGTACACAAATTTTTTTTTTTTTCGTACAATGCCCTGGCGCTGTGTACCCGAGCGCCCTGGCTCTATGTACCCAAGCTCCCCAACATTGAGTACCCGAGCCCCCCGGTGATGTGTTCCCGAGTTGCCCAGCACTGAACGATAGAGAGCAGAGCGCCGAAGCAGCATAGATACGACACTGCAGCGGATCAAGATAGAGGGTCAAGCTCCGCAGCGCTGCGGGATGAATTGGACAATTTTCTTTCTTGTTTTTTCTGAAGGGTTGCGTCCCTTGGGGTTATTTACTTCGTTTTCTCTAGTATTTTGAGTGTTAGATATTGAAGAACGTGCATATGAGAAGAGAAGAAAAGGATAGAGTGAGAGAGAAGAGAGATCTATACTTATTTTTCTTAATTTTTATAATGGATTTCTGGTTGTAAAGTGGCTTAGGGATTTTTTTACGTTAAATCCTGATGTCCTTTATTTTTTCGCTGCTTTTACTTTCTTGCTTGTTTTGTCATTATGTACTTTACTCCTCATCTCCCCAACAATTGGGAAAGGCATTAATGGGACCAATGGCTTGGCTTGTGAAGGACAAAGAAGATATGAAAAAATTGCTATGGGTTCTTGTTGGGGTAGGAGATCCATGGAATCTGCGACATATGGAGGAAGAAGAGGTGAATGAAGTGGTGACGGGATTTTGCCAGTGAATGGCATAGGACCAGCATCATGAAAGAGAAGGAATTTGGTGACGGGATTGTAACGGAGAGGGTGAAGAGGATGTTATTTTTTTGTGTTATTTAAAATTTTGAGTGTTAAGTGAGTAAACAGAGTTTAAATATATAAATAGAATAGTTTTGAGTATTATGTATATCCCCTAATTTTTTAATCATATTCATAATCATTTATTTATAATTAAACATTTTGACAATTCTCCAAACCAAACAGTGCACAATTGGTGGCTTTATACGGTAAAATAGTTTGGTATAAATTAGTTTAAGCACCTCATAGAAACCGGCCATCGATTAAATTTGGTCAAATGCATTTACTGGGGGCTGTAAGAGAATTTTCAACAGTTTTTTATTCTCTCTATTATCAAAGGAAAAAGGCAAGGATAGATATGAATCTGAAGAATAGTCTCTTGAATGTTGGAACATTATTAAACAGCATATTGGCTCGAAGTGTACTTACATAAAAAAGGAAATTCTGAGCCCTTTTATTACATCTATTTTTTTTTTTTTCCCCCAAACTGCTGTTCTTCTATAATTTCGGCACTTGTAGTTATTGCAAACAAATTCACAATATAAATGCATTGCAGGAGCTTACATATTTCCTAGGCATAGACAATCTGTAACCTTAATACAATATATCGCATTCTACATGGTACATTTATAGAATATGAAGCTCATGGTTGCTGATTTTGCTTTTGAGGGTCGCTCAAAGAAAAAACTGGTATAGGTGGAGATGGCGGGCGAGGGAAAGCGAAGAAGGGAGGCAGAGGTGGAAAAGGAAAGGGAAAAGTTAGCGGCGGAGGAGAAGAAGGTGGTGATGGCGGCGGTGGAAAAAAACCTGGAATTGGGTTGAATGGTGGTAGCGATGGAAAGGGGAATGGGAAAGGAAAGGTTAACTGAGGTGGAGGTGGTGGAGCAAAAAATGGCAGTGGTGGAAATGGAAAGGGAAAAGCAGGTGGCGGTGGAGCAAAAAACGGAATTGTAGGGAAAGGAAAAGGAAGAGAAGGTGGGCTAGGGAAAGGAAGAGGAATAGGAAAAGGGAAAGGGAAAGGAGGGTTAGGGAAAGGGAAAGGGAAAGGAAAAGGACAATTTGGCCATGGGAAGAAGGGTGGCCAAAAGAAAAGTGCAGAATTTGAATTTTTTGGCTTAACGGTAACTAAACTCGCCACATCTTCACTTTTAGTACCGCATAAGGAAGAATCCCTTTGAGCTGGTTTATAACTGAGTGCGTTCAAGTCATAAACACACGAATTGAATTCCCCAGCCTTGAAAGCCAAATGCTCGTTGGAAGAGCTTAAGCTGGGTACGTTGCAGAGAGGCGAAGGGCTCTGTAGAAGGCTTGCTTTGCAGAAGGACTCCAATGCTTGGCCTTCTCTGCACTCAAAGCCATCAACCGGGGGAATGTCAAGCTTGTAAACACCAAATTTATCTGTGATGCGCTCTGTGTTGATGGAGATTTCCTCTCCCGATGTTGTCTCTGCGGAGAACTTGCAGACTATCTGCACCTTGGCACCTGAAAGCGGTGAAAGATAAGTTGGTGATCACATTGAAAGCGAGAGGAGAAAGATTGGGTTTTTCACTTGATTTGCACCTTGGAGGAAGTAACTGTGCTTGGAGAAGGTGTTGTTGGAGCAGGCGTCGCAGAAGACGGTACCCACTACAGTGACGTTAGCAAGGGAGCTGCAATGGATGACTGGAACTGAGAAGCTGAGAAGGAGAAGAGAGAATAGGATAAGCCTTGCGGCCATGACTTAATTCCAGAAGGTTAGTTTGGTGAAGACTGTAATATGCTGAGCTTTTTATTGGATGAGGGTAGCCCGTGAGTGGGTATATTTGTGATGGAGAGAGAGAAGTGGGGAAGAGAGGGGATGCGAAAAGAAGCATCCATTCACATGGAACAAGAACATGTGAAGAGCTGCCTTTGGAATTATGTGAAGTGTTTTAGAGAGGGAGTTTGTTGGGCCTGTGCTTCACGGGTGGTGTCAATGACTCTGATGACAGGAAGTTCTGCGAGTGCAGCCAGAAGAAGAAAAAAGAATTTTTTTTTTTAATTGTGTGATTATTGTATTGATTGGTTCTATCATCTCTCTGATGATCAGCAGGACATGGAGAGAAGCCAGAATAGAAGATTTGGCTTGTGGTTTCAGTGGAGAGTGTCACTTCAAATTCGGATTGCAGTCTATTTTAGTGGATTTTGTGCTAAAAAGTTGTGTGGTGAAGCTGCAATTTTGTTAAAATATGATTATAAAATTATAAGAAAAGTTGTTTTTTTAGAAGTTATTATTGGCATTGTATAAGTTGGAAGTGAAGCATCAATGTTGTTATATAACACAGCTTTTTTAAATGCTTTTTAAAAGCTTTTTACTGTTTGACAGTAAAAAAGTTGTCACAGAGAAGTCTTAGACTTCGTTTGAGATGACTTTCTTATTGCTTCTTAAAACAGCTTTATAGTATAAGTTTTTTTATATATATACTTGAAAGCTGCTTTAAGAAGCATAAAGAAAGCCGTCCCAAACGATGCCTTAGTCTTTGTTTGGAACAGTTTTTTTACTGGTTTTTAAAGCGGCTTTTTAGTATAAAGATTTTAATTTTTGTACTAGAAATCGATTTTAAGAAGCAGTAAGAAAGCCGTTTCAAATGAAGCATTAGGTTTCGTTTGGGATTGTTTTTTTTTTTACTAAAAGCATATAAAATTTTTAATTTTTGTACTAAAAATTACTTTAAGAAGTAATAAGAAAGTCTTTCCAGATGAATCCTTAATCTCAACTCATGGCATTGACATAAAGAGTCGTGTAAATAAGTAATTTTGTATTTGATAGAAAAAAATTTATATATCAATGTATGTAAGCAAAAATATTTAGTTATAAATATATAAAATAAATTTAACTGAATCAGAAGATTCTTTAATAGTTTTCATCATGTAAGATTGGATTATAAACTAATAGAAGGAAATGAAGCAATGAAATAACTCGAAACCCAATAAAATTATTTAAAGAAAAAAATAGTTCTGAATCAGTGAAATGGTTATTATTGTAAGGTTTGCTATTGTAGTGCCGGTCCAACAATAGATGAAATAAGCTGATAGTTCAAAATCAATAATCTCCACATGAGGCATGAAGATTTTATATGGAGACTCGAATAACGGAAAAATAAGTTTTTTTTTTTTTCCTTTAATATATGAATATAATATAGTAGACATAAATTATGGATGGTAAGTTTCAAAGTGAAAATTAGAGGAGCCTCTAGATGTTGGTGTTGCCTTCAAGTGATTGTTGGTGGTTTATTCGATCATTCTTTCTAGAGGGGAGATCAAATTAGGAAAGCCAACATGAGTTTTGATTCGATGTCAAGGCGTTTTTTAGCATTAGCATGCTTTGAAATTGGTGTTGACATTATTTATTAATCTTATTATCGATGTTGGGTGTAAGATTGATGGTGCTGGTGGGCATCAATCTTATCAACAATGACGTACATCGCTGAAGGTGTTAATAACATGCATCATCCTCATTGGCGATAATGGGCATCAGGGTTAGTGTTGAATATCAGCAGTTTGGGCAATGACTTGTGTTGGTGTTGGTGTTGATGGCATGAATCAACTTTGTTGGTATTGTTATTGATGGCATGGTTCAATCTTATTGGAGATGATGTACATCAGCATTTATGTTGACGGTGTGAACATGTGTATTAGCTTTGTTGGTGATTATGTGGATTGACAAAATGCATCAATCTTGTTCAACATGCCTTGTGTTGACATTAATGTCAACGTCATGCAACTGCCTTGTTGGGAATGGCAGGCTTTCGAGTCGATGTTGATGATGTGAGATGGGCTTCTGATGATGGAGGGCATTAATGTAGGTGTGGAAAGTTTGTGTTGGCCTCATGTTGATGGCATGCATCGATGATTTTGACGTCATGCATTGGACTTATTGGTGATGACATGCATTGACATTATTTTGCAAAAGGGTGATGTTAGTCAAGAGTGGTAATCAGACGACGGTGGTTAGATGATGATAATCAGGTGATGGTAGTCGGGTGATGATTGAATAGTAATGATGGTTGTATGATGATAGTCAAGCAATGATGGTTGATATGATAATTAGGTGATGGTGCTCGAGTGATGATAGAATAGTAATGATGGTAGTCAAGCGATGATGGTTGGTAGTTGATGGCTGTGATTTTTGGCATTAATCATTGAACATAGTTCTATTCAACTCCAAGTTCGAGCCCAGCCCTTCATGTGAAAAATGATGGGCTATTTATAAATTTTTGGATCAATAATTTTAGGTATTTCAGCTAAAATCTCCAAACAATCTAGCAGACGGTTCATATTGATCGAGTGAATCATAAATTATTCTTTAGGCATTATGATGTCATTGAGTTATCATGATGTCATTGAGCCCAATTTGAGTGCCTTGATTCTATCTAAATTGAGCTATCGTGATGTCATCGAGTTCTTCTCATCGAGACATGCACTTATTTTGACTATAATAATGTAGTACTTACAGATCATTTGGTCCCTCAAATAGTATGTGATATTTTTACCTATACTTACAGTAAGCTCATTTCAACTTGGATTAAGACATTTTTTGTCGCTGGGTTCATCTCACTCAAATGTTTGTTTCGTCTTTTAAGTTTGTGGACATCGAAGTTTAAATGATTCCAAATTTAATTTTAAAATTTTCTAATTTAAATTTTAAGTCAACTTTTGCTTGGTCGAGTGGAATTCCTTGTTATGTATCACTTATGATGGTCCGTATGCCTTTTTAACTTGAACTATTGATCCACAAGCTTTTCATGTCTCCAACGGTTCCTTTTTTTGTTGAAAAGCTAACTATTAAAGCTTCCCATTCTGTTCTTTGAAGTTAGAACCAATCAAGTGTAGATGGGTCTCAGTAAAGGTTAATAGTTTCTTCCATCACAAGCTGCATATAGCTCATAGCTCATGTGCTTGTATACTGCTTTCTTACCCTATAAATACCTAATATATCATTAACAAATCATTAGCCACACTAATAAAAAATTATGTATCATTAATAAATCTTAAATCTTTGATTTAGGATTCATTTAGGATGACTTTCTTACTGCTTCTTAAAGCAGCTTTTTAGTTTAAAATTTTTAATTTGTGTACTAAAAAATTGCTTTAAGAAAAAGTAATAAAGCCGTCTTAAAGGAAGTCTTAGTAAATCATGAAAACTGTAGAATCTAAGAATTTGAGGGGTTTGAGAATTTGATAGCTTAGTTTGTCATGAGTGAAATGGGGCTCATGCCAATCCCAATACACTAATAGATGATATACATAAACTCAAAAGCATGAGCTAAGAGTGGCGGTCTTTAGTACAATATTAAAAATTTCATGCATATTCTATTAATAATATTTAGATGTTTTTATATTCATGTCAACATTCTAAATCTTATCATTTTATGGGAGCTCACTGTGTGTCTATCATTCTCTACTGAGTATAAATTTTCGCTATTAACATGTTTGATTCATCGAGATATCACTCTACTACTAGTGGTTTTTCCCAATTATCTCTTATTAGGATAGATGGAATATCGGGGACCTGAATTAAGTTTAATATGCCGAGGAAAACTTAATAATAATAAGGAATGGGACTATCTAAAAGATAAGCAAGTCTAATTTCATTTTATAATGAGATAAAATATCTTTTTCGTAAGTTCTTTATAATGATTAATCATATAGTAATGATGTATAATGGATTTAATCAGTATTTAGTATAACAAATTTTCAACAATAAGTACAGATTTCAAAGAATTTTTTCTTGACAATAGCATAGTAACTATCATTCATTCCAACATAGAATATTGAATTGAGAAAAATCAAAATGATCAATTGAAACATTACCCAAAAGTCATGAAAAACATCAAAGAACATTCAAGGAGGCTAAGTAATGGTAAGCTTTCCTATGAGTGAGAGTAAACAACAGGAAGCCCACTAAGGTGGCCACATAATTTTCAATCATGGGTATGATCCTTGAATTTATTTTCGGCTGTGGAGGCCCAAAGACTAGCAGCCCAACAACAAAGATTAGGCTTGGTAGAAAATTTTTGGTGTTCGACTATAGTAGATGGCTCTGGTCTGGTGTATGCAGCCTCTAATTACCTTCAAATTATTAGTATTAATCATAATTATAAGTTTAATGTCTGAATGCTCTTTATAAAATTTCTCAATATAAATAGTAACAGTATATCAATTTATTTAATATAATACTTGGACATGATCATAAGATATTATTATATTCAATAGCCACCATGCAGTATGGCTTAGCCAATGATGATATCTCAGATTTGAATCTTATATATATGATGTATGTGAGTTTACGAGCTAATTTACCCGATCTCCTAAAATATGCTACCACCAATGATGTGGCATGAGTCATTTTATTAAATGGAAGGTAATCATATGTGACATAGATAATCTTAGTGTTTTAATTTGATCATGATAGTAAAATATTTATAAACAAATTAGTTGTTTCATGTAATCATTGGATTTTTTTATACATATAGTTTTAATTTGATCGACTTTATAAAATTGGTTAGTTAGAGCTTGAATCTTAGGCTTCATTTGGGATGGCTTTTTTACTATTTTTTTAAATAGTTTTAATTTGATTGACTTTATAAAATCGGTTAGTTAGAGCTTGAGCTTTAAGTTTCATTTGGGACGGGTTTTTTTATTGATTTTTAAAGTAGTTTTTTTTTTTTACAAAATACTTTTTAATTAAAAATTTTTTTACTAGAAAGCAGCTTCAGAAACAATAAAAAAGTTGTTCCAAATAAAACCTTATCCTTTTTTTTTTGCAAGGCTACAACTTACTCCCTAAGAAACTCTAATAACCTCATCTTGATCATGTAAATGCATCCTCGATCACCCTTAATTGTTAGATATGCATCAAAATTTACCCAATTTAGCTAATTAATCTCATTCTCTTTTGAATTATACTACCAACTTACACTTCATTTTGTTATATATTTTACTACTGCTTGCTTCCTCCACAACCACAACACCTCCAAGATGCTCATAAGCCTCACCATCTTGACAAGTTATCTATCAACTTATTATTAAATAGGCATTAACAATGGTATCTTCTACTCTTAGTAAGCAAAGTAATTGTAAAAACCTCTCCAAATTTCATTTTTTTTTAGTGTAGTTAGTCTGTACGAACTAACCTTAGTATGGGACGAACTGAAGAAAATTATGAAAATCTGTATGGTTAGTACGTACGAACTGCCCGTACAAACCTGAGTTCGTCCGTACGAATCTGAGTTCGTCCGGGACGAATTTTTGCCCGAGAGCATCGTCCAGGGACGAAATT